TGCTTGGGTTGTCAGTTTCAGAGACCCTTATCCTTTTCCTGAGCTTCATCTTGTAGGGACTGACCTTCCTTTTGATCCTCCTGGTCCGGCTATCATTTGCAGATGCTGTATTCTCTTTTGACATGATGCTATTGAGCTCTAAAAATAAAGAAAACACACAGTTGAACATCAGTTTGATGTGAATAATTATCACTAACTGCATGGAATTGTGTTTTTTATCATCTCTGAGTACAGACTCAGATCACAGTGAGAAAAATGGCTCAACAGCAGGAATCAGAGGTCTATCTTGAGGTACTAACTCTATCTTGAGGTACTAACTTATATAGTGCCTACTCTACCCGATAAGTCATATGGATCATTAAAAGAATAGTTTATCCACAAAATGACCTTATGTACATCAATTAGTCATGCCTTGTTACCTTGAATTCCTGAACTTTGTTTTTCTCACATGCCTCCACGGAAAACGGAGACACATATTGATTTATGGGCTGATTGGGGACCAAGGTTAACAATAGCAAAACTATATCGAAACATCCATTTACATAACTCATGCAATATAATCCAAGTCTCACATATCCAATTGTATGCTCATTTCTTCTCAAACGCATTTTCATTTTAAAAAACCTCAATATTAGAGTGTGGTTTTTAGGAGAGCACAGGTAAGTTTCATTTTTCAGTTCAGTTTTAAATTGTAAGGTTTTAGTGAAAATGCAATGTGTTTGGGAAGTACAGAGCACAGGATTTGATAAATGAGATTATATTGCAGGTGCTGTGTGAGAGTTTGTAAACAGAACTTTTTACATAGTTTGGGTTACATGTGGTCCTGAATCAATCAATAAATCAATATTTTCACTGTTTAACTCATCTAAATGATGTTTTATTTATCTTGTCTGGATTTCTCACCTACTTTGAACTCAAAGTCTTCTCTGCCATCAAAATGTTAAAAGTTTAACAAGACACCTTCAGAGAAACAAATGTGTGTCGATCCAGTACTTGGATATCTGAGTGAATTCTCACTATATGTTCTTGTATTTAAAACTTTTATGTGAGCACTGAGGCTTTGATCAATAAAACACAGAACACAGTAATGACATATTCAGTGACATCAAAGTAAAGTGTTTTGGAATATGCAGATTAGTCACCAAAATAAATTGTACATGTGTTTATGTTTGAAAATCAAGTCCAAAATGCAAGCTTAACAATGTAGTGCTGTAGATAGGGGTCTGCAATTTTAGCCACAAAAAGAGAAGTCCCACCTATAGAAAAATCAATGTCAGCTTAAGTGTATTCTATGCTGAGTATTGAGGCTATTTTCACTGCTTTACCTTAAGGTCAGACAGCCTCTTCCGACAGGGAATCCGTTGACGGCTTCAGTTCCCCATCTATTCTCTCGTCAAAGCCACAAAGACCCCATTGACAAAAACATTTATTTTACCTGGCTGAACACTAGAGCTGCTGGTCTACTGCTGCTTCAGTCAGTTACTTTGTGTTATTGTGTGACTTCGGTGAATCAGAGCTAACCCTTTATCACCAAAGTTACACAATAATGCAAACAGAACTATAGCTGCTAGTAAGGCATCCTTAGCAGAGAATTAAGTCACGCAACCTCTGTGTGTTGTGATCTGAGCTTCTCTGTGGTTTGTTGTGGTGAGCTGGTCTGGCCAAGTGTGCATTTTGGTGTATTTGTGTGTCCCACTAGCTAGCTCATTGCCGCTTCTTTGCAGTACAGTCATACAGGGGTTACTGCTGATATTGTGATGTAATCGGCGCTGTAGCTTAGTGCCTCCCTTCTGGTTCGCTCTGGTGAACACCGTTAGCTGTGTCGGTGTTGGTGTTTCTATTATTTGCCGTTGTTAATGAAGTTAGCACTGTTAGCTGCTAGCTGCTGGCTCAGCCCTATCCATATTGAGAACCGTGCGCAGACATTCGCTCTAAATTTTGCATAGAGCTCTTAAAAGAACTAAGCATGAAAATCTCAGGCGCTGGACCCAAGGGCTTTGATTTCTCATTTAGGTAAAACTGCCAGGACTGAACCTCATCTGTCAGGGTCAAGAAGAAGTCACCCAGCAGGCCACTGAGGGGCCAGTTTTGCCTCAGTGTTTCAGTATCTGTGAATCTCTATAATGTATATTTCAGAGTGCTTCTCTGCAGAGATGTGTAGGCAAGCCTGCAGAGAGAGCAAAGGACTCATTTGATTGCTACAAAATGTGTTCATGCACTTTCATTACATTGTCTCTATAATATATACCTAATGTAGAGCCTGCCTCACAATGGCTGACCTTCACTAGAAATACATCAGTATTAAATACTACATTGTGTGGAGCTGGCTTTGCTGATGACCTGTATTATTCTGCTAAACGCTGTGATTTATCTTATTCAATCATCACTGTGATGTTTCACATGTGAACAGCCTGCCATCATCATGTGCAGTTATATACAGAGGGATACATAAGGTACTATCCACTATAACCACCTGAACGTAAGAAACTCTCCTCTGGTGGGCATATCATTTGAAAGTAACTACTAAATTAGGCCAACTCTGAATAATTCGAATTAATCTTCTTAATCAAATATTATCTTTAAACGCCTCCTAACTTTAAAGAAGAGATTTAAGGGGATTTCATGAGCTATCACCAATGACTGGTGACCTAATTCGGTTCTCTTTTAAAATCCACTTTAGTTTTAGACCTACAGCAAATATATTCATGATTGGCTGGTAATTTCATTTTTTTTAAATGACAATTTTGACATTTTCAGGCAATGTAGGACAGTTGTACTGGTGTCATACTAAGTTAACAATGCAACAATATTTTTTGATTTTGATCAAGGTACTATATTGAACATTAAGTGCCTCTGGCAGATGAGCAGTCCAATATTTATGACAGAGATAGATAGATATCATCAATTAAATAGTCATGATTTTATGGTTAAACTGAATTAACTTAGAGGTCTACATTAACTGTGAAGGTTAATAGATAATGTGTAGTCTGACTCAGAGGACATAGACTGCCTATTACTAGGGTTGGGTAATATATCAAAATTATACTGCTATTGTGATATGAGACTAAAAATCATCTTAAATTTTGGATGTCGTTATAGCGTGCTGTTTTTCCCTGGTTTTAAAGGCTACATTACAGTGAAGTGATGTGTAGCTATTCTATTATTTGCCTTTACCCACTTAGTCTTTATATCCACACTACAGATGCTTATTTATCAAAAACCCTTAGTGTGTAAATATTTTGTGAAAGCACTAATAGTCAACCCTACATTATCGATGCAATGTAATTATTGGGGTAATTGTCACAAAATATCATATTTGATACTCTCCAAATTGCCCAGCACCAATCCTGCCACTGCTTGTCTGTTTCAGACACAGTTCCTCCCTTCCCAATATCTATACCATTTTCAAAATCCACATTGCGACGAGAAACAGCAAAAACAACCTGCGACAGTAAATGGGTCAAGAAACACAGGACTTTCCCCTGGAGACCGTTGCTCGAAACTGTGTGAACTTTGAGACAGTTTTAACATACATCCTACATGTTTCTTTTGCTAAACCTAACCACAGTTACTTTATTGGCCCAAACCTAATCTCGGTAACTTTACGTTAATTACGTAATTTACGTACGTTTATAGGATATTATAAGAACGGTTGCATAAGGATACGTTGACTTAATGTTTTACTTTTGCTGGGATTTAGCCATTCTAATGCCAGGGCTCGCCTCCCCATGTGCAAATGTTTGCGCATAACATGTTGCCTCCAAACTATTTTGCTAGGGCACCATTGCTGCATCTCTGGCTTAGTGCTGCCCAAGCTGATTCTGATTGGCCAAAGAAATATGAACATCTTGGAGCTTGTTTTCCCCTTAGTGCATAATTATGATGGGCTTGGCCACCTTCCCCCACTGGCACAGCACTGAAAGTGTGGAGATAGATCTAGCTATATGAGGGTCAATGATGGATGGCCAAGGTGTGTTGAGCGCCTGTTACTTCCACAGGAGACACTGATTTGTGGTGGAGTCAATGCCACCAGCAACATGTCATTGAGTAGGACATAAAACTGCTGGTCAGGGCTGCTGAATGAAAAGTATCAAGGTCACAGTGCCATCAGAGATCCTCATGAGATTGGACCACTTGCAAATAAAAGAATTCAACACACTGCACAGGCACATGTACCGTACATCAGGTTATTGTTGTAGTTGAAAAAAGACTTTTATTCAGTGCCTGGGAGAAACAGTACAGCACAGTTTTGTTATAAAAATGGATATCCACAGGTTCAGTCAAGACATCAATAGCACTAAGGCCAGGTTAGTCTCTGAAATTCAAACAAGGCTACTGCAAAAACTGCTCTCTCCTTAACATACTGGGTTTCCTGTCCCTAACACCCGTGACAGCAATCACTCCAACAAAGATTAGCAGCAGACTAATCATTTCCAGCTTACTCACTGATAGGTTTTTATGAAGTGGTAAAAGGGAAAATAAATCATTTTAGATTCAAAAGGCTCAATTTCAGCTAGGAGGACTCTTGCCCTCTGGATGTGGGATTATTCATTACAGTAGTGTCTGTGTCCAACAAGGTCATTTAAATTTAGTGTGAAGTAAAAGCATCTGAATGCACTTGAGCAAAAGTCACTGTAACATTTACATATTTGTAGAATAATGCATACAAAAGGAGTGGTTCAGTATATGAGCTTATTTTTTTAAAGCAGTCCTGGTTGTGTATAAGGCACAGTTTCTGATCACAAGCTCTTTTGAAAAAAAATCTATGTTCTGTGCTGTGTAGAATATAAATGAGGGTATTTAGCATTTTTTTATTTTTCCAAATCATTTTTTTCTCTTACATAACTTCATTTAAAAATAAATATCTATTATCTTCTTTAAAATAATCTTTAAACGTTTGCTGTTCCCCGTCATAAACCACAATTCTAAAATGAAATTGAAAAAAAAAAAAAAAAAGTGGAAATGATCAATACCTAAAATAAAAAAAATAACAGGATGGATAATGCATTTTTATAAACAGTTCAAAAAGTAAAACATTGATAACATCAAAAACAATAAACAAAAAAAAATCACAACCAACAAACATGTAATATACAGAATTTTTAAAAAATGGATACAATGTGAGAGCTTCATTCAGCTTCTCTGGTCTCGTTCTGCCCCTTGGAGAGAATATGTGCCAATGCCCCCGAGAAAAAGGAACAACACCCCCTCTGTTCGACCCATCTCTTTGGCGTTTATGGAGGGGAGGAGCAGACGATGCAAAGCGTCTCTGCCAGGCAAAGAGCCACAGGGCCAGTTCACTGGACGCCACATGTTCACCAGGCGTGTTCTCGGGGAATTCAAACTGTGTTTAACTAGGGCCCAGAACAAATACAAAACAAAAAAAAAAAAACAGAGTGGACGGTATTTATTTTTTGGAGTGTGATGTGAAGGCGTTCTCGATGCAGAGGACGATGTAGGAGCCGGAACAGCTACTGGAGGATTGCTGCAGGAGGTGGCCGCTCTGTAGCGATGATGCCAGACCAGTCACAGCGTGGTCACCCGCCCGCCATGTTTCGCAGTAATGGTCTGTTTGCCGGTGGCCTTTGTTGCTTGATCCATGCCAGATCATTTTTTCTGGCCTGGAGGACGGCAAAAACAAGCACATAGGTCAGAATATATGTACAGTATACAGCATGTGCCTATACAAAAGCTAGTGCAGAGGATGCTGTATTAAATTTAACATTATTATACAAATAAAATGAACAAAGGCTCACCATGCACTGTCCCTGAGGATGTCTCTGCCATCGAAGGAGTAGATCGGTACATTCTCCTTCATTTTACTTGCATCGTCTCCAAAGACAGACTCCCAACTGCTGAACAACACTTGGTCCTGCAATGAAGATAATAAAACACCTTCAATTTAATTTCTCCTCTATAATGTGTTCCTAATACAGCAGTGAGAAAGACTGAATTAAGTAAGTTGAGAAGTTGAGAGTTAAGAGGGAATCCAAATAAATGGTATTCTTGCAAACTTTTTTAGGAAACCTTTGAAATAAAAATCGTAGGGCTGACCTTCGAATCCATTGATGGACATTCGAAGCTTCGGAGCTCAGAATGAATTTAATTCAAAGCATTTGACGAACGGGGGGGGGACAATTGTGGCGAAATGTAGTTTCTTCCAACACTAGAATTAAGATAAAAAATATTCACAAACGAAAAAACACTAATAGTCGGTGATAAGTAGTCTTTAACTTTTGACTGAACACTAAATTAAAACCCTCGGCGCACACTGCAGCACAATCAAATAGATGCGCAACTCGGAGCATCAGTGTCTCTGACACCAGACTCAGAGCAGACCGGTGGAACTGGAAAATGCATATTAGGCCTACTAGTTACTACTTACGTTTTTCAAGTGACTTCCCAAATTTGTTGTTGAGTTGTGATATGCTAATTGTTTCTGGCAAATCTGGCACTCTGCTTTCTGGGGGTTGTCGGAGCATATTTTAAAGTGCAACCACACATCTGATGACCTCTTGGACATGTCTGCCAGCTCTGAGTGCACTCGTTGTCAGTATCAGACCAGTGGGGGTTAGTGTTGCGTTTAAGGCCTCCCCCCAAAAAACGAAAAAAAAAAAAAAAAAAGTGCCGAAGCTTCGTTTGTTTTTTTTTCACAATCGAATGCCGTGCCATCGAACGAAGCTTCGATTTTTTTGGGTCAGCCCCAAAAAATAGTCAGAGCTACAGTCGAAAACTACTCATTATGCCTTGCACAGCCATAAGGTGGGTGGGTTTTCTCAGGGTACTCCAGCTGGTTAGGGTAGTTGGTGACTCTAAATTGGCCATAGGTGTGAATGTGAGCGTAAAGGGTTGTCTGTCTCTATGTGTCAGCCTTGTGATAGTCTGGCGACCTGCCTAGTGTCAGCTGGGATAGGCTCCAGCCCCCCTGCGACCTCTAACAGGATAAGCAGTTATGGAAAATGAATGACTGAATGAACAACTTTAAGGTCTACATCAGGCCTATTCAGGCCCGTGGGCACTGTTAGGTAGGTAGGTTTATTTGACAACAATTAAAAAAATATATAATATATATAAATATGTTGATCACGCAAGACTAGCCTGCTGATTAGTTCTGTTTACAAATAAAATATAATCATGACGAAGAAAAAAAAAATGTGATTACAGACATTTTGCCACAATAAAGCCATAAATGACTCTGCTGAGACCAACAATCACATGACCAAAATTCAGTGAAACTTTGACTGAACTGTAGGTTGATTACACAAAGGAGAGGACAAATGGTAAATGTAGATGTAAATGTAAATTGCAATGTAGCGAAATAAGTTTTGATAAAGTGGTGGCGTGATGTTTCAAGTACACACACATAATGAGAAACGTCTGGCCCCCAGGCCCTGAGCATTCTGAAAGTGTGGTCCCTATACCATATAATTCAACAGCCCTGGTCTAGGTGATGAAAAACTTGAAATCTGTCCACATCTGTGAAGGTCAGCCTATGCACACACACAATGTAGTATAAACAGAACCACGTCCACTGTCCGTTTCGGCCCCTTAGTAATATTTCCACTTCCTCAGCAGTAGTATCTCACCTTGAGGTTCACGATGGGGAAGCTGTCCCTGTCCGACCTGCGGACGATGGTGTAAAGGTCTTGAAGCTTGGAGGACAGGAAAGCTCTGAAGGTGCCCTTCAGGCCCACAGCACGGGCCTGCTGGAAGCACAGGAAGTCTGCCCCGCGGATTCCTCGCATGTTACCAGTTTGAGGGGCGTTCAGGGCGATGAGATGTAGCTGATGAGGAAGACACAGGTTTGTGTTAAAATGTCTGCCTCTGTATGACCTGCTCTTGTTTCACATCAGTATGAAGTAAATTATTTTAATAAAGACTGGGCCATTGTATCAGCCAATATTAAATTACTACAGATATATGACTGTTGCTAAGTAACAAATCACAAACATAAAACAGGCAGCTGTGACTCAAGAGGTAGAGCAGGTCATGCACTAATTGGAAGATTGGCGGTTTGATCTCCGGCTCCTCCAGTCCGCAAGTTAAAATATTCTTGGGCAACATACCGTACTGAACCCCAGTTGCTCCTGATGGTGTGTGAATGTGTGAATGGGTGAATGTGACAAGTAGAGTAAAAATGCTTCAAGTGGTTGAAAGACTAGAAAGGCGCTTCACAAGTGCAGTCCATGTATCATTTAGCAGCTAACTGAAGTACAAAAATGTCAGATATATTTAAGGTTATTTGGAGGCATTGTCCCACAGTAAACACTGCCACGTTGATTTTCAAGTGTCTCGCTCACTTATCATGATCAAAGTATAAATGAAAATTTAAAAAAGACCACTGTCAAAGTGGCTTCACTGTCCTACAAACCTTTCTGTGGGGATTTTATTCCTTTTGCTATCCAACCAATTTGTGTCCTTTATTTTTTTACCAATTAGAATCTTCCCGTCAAATTTTAAACAAACCACATTTTCATCACAATTTCTGTCTTTAAGTGTGCTGCAATGTGACCTCCTCCTCTTCACCACAAAGTGTGTTATCTCACCAGCAAATAAACCCTTACCATCACTTAATTACTGGATGTTAAGTATTTTAGGGTCACAGTTTACACCAATTTATCCTGCTTAACATGACACCCTCCATAATTAAGTAATTGACATTATGAGTTCTCCTGGTTGAACTCTACTCACTCCTGATGCTGATGGCACATGGCCAGCAGGCTGCGGCACAGGTGGGCTGGGTCGTCGCTGCGGAGTTACGGGGTATCTGTTGTCAGTATGGTGGGTGGCTAATCTTCCATCTGTCTGACCAGTGTGTCTTGGTTCTGGGAATCTGGGATCATACTGTGGGGGGTATCTGGGGTCTACAGGTGGTTGCGGTGGAGGCTCGATGGGTCGTATGGCAGTACCACCCTGTGAGTAATGGCCAGCGCCGTTGTTTTGGGACTGGTCCTGGGACTGGGGGTACAGGATCACTGGTGGAGGCTGGACCTCTGCCACCTCGTTCTCCTTTAAATTAAATTTGGAGAGGTTCGAAAGATCAAAAAACAGTCAGTGAATAAAAAATGAAAATATGTTTATTGTTTTAATTCTATGGAACTCACCAGATCTCTGAAGAAGGGACTGTACTCTCCAAGCTGAGAGGGGAAAAAGAGCTGTTTAGCAAACACTGATATCTCATCTCACAATGAATTCATCACCTGATATGTACTCTTTTTTACACAAATACATAACATTAGCAAATCTTTTTATATGAGTGAAAGCATTTTACAGTCGAACAACACAATGTTAAACTGTAAAGGCCCAAACACACTGAAATCAATAACTGACGTGCCTCACACTGCAGGTATCACATTTATAAATGCCAACACAGCAGAACCAGGAGCATTTTAGGAGAAGGTCTGTATTTAGACAACAGTTTTGTGTACTACAGATGCTTGTTTTTTTTTCTATACATTGCTAGTTGAGTAACATCATATGACATTTGGTGCATGCTGCTGCTTTTCAGTTGGTTGGCATTAGAACACCGGTAAAGCCACTGGGGACCTGCCATCTCATTTCATCTTTTTTTTCCCCCAGATGGGTAAAAAAATTACATAAATCACAGTCAATCATAACTCTGTACTATGTTAATGCTGTTGTTAGGTGTATGCAGTAAGTTAATTTTATGACCAGTAGATGTCAGTAAACGTTCATGAGGAAACGAGGTGGGTCTGTTATGCTAACGTAACTACTGAGGGTTTAACCTTTTTTTTTTTTATCTTTATTATCTCACATGTGACAACACAACAGTTAACATAGCTGTTGGAAGTAGTAGCTGTTTTCATTGGGCATTGCAGAATTACATCTATAATGTTCATCAAGTTTAAAGCCAAGCTAATGGAGCTATCATAAACGCTCATAATGCCTTTGGTGTTCAGCCAAAAATAGGTGAAGAGCATGTCAGACTGGTGCTTTGGGGGCTTAACATCATTAAAATGCAAGTTATTTTGCATAACAATAAATTAAAAAAAAAGAAATAAAATATATAGTTTTGCTTTTTAGCATATTTTCCACAAATACCATTATTTCTGTGAAAACCATTATTGGCTTCCTTATGTGCTGGATGATAGCATGTTAGCCATACCAATTAACAAAGTTGAATTTCTTCAGACTTTTTTCCCCCTAGTGGCCAAGAAACAATCACAGCAGCTTTAAAGTCAAACTGTATTGAAGATGTATGGTTGAAATGCCAAATTTGAACTCTAAAAGTTTTATTGGGTGAAAGGTAGATGACCGTACCATGACTTGCCGCAGTCCATCGCGTACTCTCAAATAGAGGTCTGCTTTGTCAATGATGTAGATGAGGCTGCCCTCAGCCTGGCGTCTGGCAGTCGCTAACATTGTGTCGTACGACCTCAGAACTGTAACCTGTGAAGAAAAATATACATGGTGTTAATATAAATGAAATAATAAATTGGTGCCAATTGCTCTGAAAATAGAAAGTTCTGATTGGCCCTGAATATTCATTCATTCATTCATTCATCTTCTAACCGCTTCATCCTCTTGAGGGTCGCGGGGGGGCTGGAGCCTATCCCAGCTGACATCAGGCGAGAGGCAGGGTACACCCTGGACAGGTCGCCAGACTATCGCAGGGCTGACACATAGAGACAAACAACCATTCACACTCACATTCACACCTACGGACAATTTAGAGTTACCAATTAACCTAGTCCCCAATCTGCATGTCTTTGGACTGTGGGAGGAAGCCAGAGTGCCCGGAGAGAGCCACGCTGACACGGGGAGAACATGCAAACTCTGCACAGAAGGGCTCCCACGCCCGGGATCGAACCGGCAACCCTCTTGCTGTGAGGCGAGAGTGCTAACCACCACACCACCATGCCGCCCGCCCTCAATATTTTATCAGGCAAATATAGATACAGAGACGGACACAGATGGCACCTTCTGTCCATACTCTTCATTTCATCAATAATTGTACATGTTTTCTGGCAGTTTACAGATACAAACAAAACAAAGCAGTACCACTGGAGATTGTGGAGGCAGTGTAGCATAGTTCAAGCGAGACACGACCCTAGGAGACGACGAAGAAATGTAAATGATGGTGAAACGGAACAAATCGGTAATATATGATAATATATATTAATATTTGGTGAAGTTATTGAAAAGAATTCCCTGTCCACACGTTAGGATGTACACTATCGCCGCACAGACCTCTGCTGTCTACAACACTGCCTCCGTAGGTACTGTATTACGACCTCCAGCCACCTATTGGCTGTATCTACACCAACATAAAGGACGCATGGGAGAACGAGGTCAGTAATGTTGAATGAAGCGTGTGTATCTATTTTACAAAAAGGAAATTTAAATGAGCCTTAACAATCAGATAATCAGTAGGATGATATTCAAGGAATACTGCACCTGCAAAATTACCATTTTCAAATCAGTTACTCACCCTGTGTTACGTTGAATTCTTGACAACCTTTATTTTTCTTGCATGCCTTCAAGGCGAACAGAGAATCCAAAAATTCTTCATTATTCATGAATTGAAGTGAATGAGGACCAAGTTTAACAACAGCAAAACTATACCAAAACATCCATTTACAAACCCACACAATCCTGCAGTATTGTCCAAGACTCATTTATTCAGTCGTAAGCTCAGTACTTTCTAAACACATGCATTTTCACTAAATCGTTTTGATGTAAAACGCATCAGTACAAACAGTCTCATGCACAGCTGAGTAGCGTGTCCGAGCACACGTGTTTTTGGACTTGCATGTATGTGCTCAGGATATTTTGGTATGGTTTTCTGTTGTTAAATGCGGCCCCCTATAATTTCAGTTCATAAGGAATGTTTGCCGTTTTTGGATTCTCTGTCCACTGTGAGGCATGCGAGAAAAACAAGGTTTTCTTTACAAATTCAACACAACCTGTGGTGAGTAACTGATACACAAATGGTCATTTTGCAGATGAAGTATTCTTTTAAAATGCAGCAATCGTACTTACCCCTGAGGAGTGACCAGGACTTCCAGGTGGACCAGGAGGACCAGGCGGTCCAGGAACAGTGACAGCTTCGAATGAAAACAAAGGCTTGTTAATAATTTGGCTTATGAAGACCCCCAGTGCAGTTTGTAGGCAACAAGCAGAGTGCAGACAGTAGCTAGATGTCACCTCCACACTAGCTTTAGAAATATCCAGAATATATTTTAACAGAAAAAGCTACTTACAGTGATTGGGCCTATATGGTCCTGGAAGTGAGGAAGATCCTTGGGGTCCTGGAGGTCCAGGTGGTCCTGGAGGGCCTGGACGCCCATCGTAACCAATCCCTGGAGGCCCTGGTGGCCCTTGCGGTCCGGGGGGGCCCATTACACTTTCTCCCTTTGGACCCTAAAGTGACGGAGAAAAATCTAAATTACTGGAACACTTACTTTAATAATAATATTAAATTTATAAATAAAATTATTAATAAATTAATAATAATCTATCATCTTGGTCATGACAAACAATTTTGGTTTATGTATAATAAAGGGTCTTGAAAAATAAAAAATAAAACCATACTGACAACAGACATTTTACTCTCTGAACTTACCGGTAGGCCTGGTCTGCCAGGAGACCCTGGTGGGCCTTGTACTCCTCCAAAGCGTGGGTCATAATATCCACCACCAGGCTCTCCCTTTTCTCCCTTCACACCTACTTCCCCACGTTCTCCCTTCAGTTCATTCTGTTGGAAACAGTTTAACATTATGAAGCACAGTACTTCCAGCATACTAATAAAACTAAATGGTGGTGAGATGATAAGCTAGTTTACCTTGAATGCGTAAATATCAAAATTAGAGGCTGTTCCTGGGGAAAAAACAAAGATGTTTTAGTAATTAAGTAAGAAATGATCCACATCCAAACAGTCCTGCAGTGCAGTGGGTATGTATATAATAATGGTGCAGCATGTATTTGTATTTTAAGCAAACTAGAATTTACCTGGGATTCCTGGAAGTCCACGCTCACCACGCTCTCCTTTTTCCCCTTTATGTTCTACAACAAATGATCATTTTTAAAATCAGCTGGTTTGACACGGTATCACACAGGTATATCTAACATTGCAAAACTGTTAGAGCCCTGTGTCTGTGATAGAAATATCTTCTGTGTTTTATCTATTCATTCTTCAGATCTAGACTTGACAGCTTAATCTCTTGACAATAGAGTGTATATCCCCTTCAGGCTGAGGCAGCTGGATCAAACTGAAATTAAGATAGAACTGTTTATCTCTGCAGACACTTTAAACCCTTCCTAAATCTCTCTTCCTTGACTGGCACTTTTACTGAACTTCTCCATTCTGATCCCTCTCTATCTTACAGTATTATGTATTGGTGTTAAAACAACAAATGATGTGTGTTGGAGGTCATACCTAGGTAATTCCTTGAAGATTCATCATAGCGCTATGGACAGAAAGAAGACGTGCTCAATGAAAAAATTTGCAGTACCACCACCAACAACAGAGAAAATATTTATCTAAGGTTCATGCTGAATCATGCAATTAGCAACTGACTCAGTAGTTTTACCAGACAACAGAACAAAAGCACCAAATATTGACTGGTCACTCATGCTTTAATGACACAAATATATATGCTTTAGCTATCAACAACCACAGGATACATGAGCCGCATGAACTTTGTGTTACACTAACTGGTACATTTTCCAAGATTATTTCAAGGTTTGAAGTTTTAAAATACTGTGTACTCACATTGAAGCGATCTAAAGACAAGACTGGCCCAGGAGGTCCAGGTGGTCCGGGTGGTCCTGGTTGGCCTGGGACTCCCTGATGAAAACAAAGTTATTAATTCTTTCTCACTGTTTGGTGTGTAGATACAGAATTATGCCCATGGTAGTGGTGAGATTACTGACATACCGTCAATAATTTAGACAATATTTTGATATTTTACTACTATTGTGACACACTGATTGTTAGCATTGATAAAAACATTGGTATGTGTGTAGGGCTGGGTATTTGTACCTGATACCTTTAAGGTATCGACTAAAATAACCCAGTACCAGTAGCATCAAAACTTTGTCAATCAAACGACAACTCATTTTTGTGCCGGGGTCTTATTTTGGACCACTGGATAAGCAAGCTTTCTGTTGCTGCTATCTCTGGAGCCGCTCCTCTCCCGGCAAATGGTCAGTTTATCGTTTGCCTGGTAAGCACAAGCTAATACAGCAGTAGCAGCTAACATCAAGGCATATAACGCTCCCAGCAAACTCACACCGACACTGAAACAGCTCGACTCTGATGTTAAAACCTTTAATAACCAATAAGCAATGTTAGCCATGTGATGCTAACAGTTAGCCCTGTCACTGTGTGTGCAGCCGGCAGACTCTCACAGTTGTGTCTGGTGTGGAGCTCACACTCCCACAGCAGCAACTACAACACACACAGTCTGTTTTATGGTGAAGTTGAGTGTGGTGTATTGACAGAGTTGGCAGCTTATGAGGCAGAGTATGACTATGCTACATGCCATTTCATTCACATTATGGGTATCAAATGAGGTACACTAATGGTATCAGTATCACTTTAAGGGTACTGGTATTACTACTGGTATTTTTTTTTTAAAATGATTCCCAAGCCCAGTATGAGTGTTTGATATTAGGGCATTCGCTCAGCAAATGCTCACTCTGGAAGAATGCATTCACTGAGGAAATAGTGTGTTGACATTTATGTTAATTAATGTTGTCAATCAACATATATCACACTGGCACAACAGCAGCTCTGACAAGACATAAATACAGAGCAGAAAGGCTAATATTTGTTAAATTAAACAGGGGTTGTTTTTTTTAACCCAAGACTTATGTTACTGGCAGTAACCAGGAACTTGTGCAAAGACAAATAATGTGTACACAATATAACGAGCCAGAGAGCTAATTGGCCACTTGAAAAGAGTTTGAAAAGAGATCTCAGTGAGGGTTTATTGTTAAAGCCAGCTAGTCAGTCAGTGTTTGATGTTCAATGCAAGACTCTCTTCCTTTTTACTGATTATGTGTATTTCATGACACGTGTCACCGATGCACCACAACTATTTTTGACAGAAGGCAGGTCACAGACAGGTCACATATATTAGTATCATGGTGACACTTAGCTGTGCCTTCATTACACTGTCAAACTGACTTTAATATCTTCTGCCACTGTAAAATCTGTTTGTCTGAGGCACTGGTAATAAGATGAACACTTACTGGGTAGCCATAACCTGAACCAGTTCCTGGGTCTCCTTTCTCACCCTTGTACCCATTTACACCAGGGCGACCCTGAGGGGAGAAAAACATTGAATAATATTTCCCTGTGCTCCGAAAACAGACACAATGGGGTTACAATGTAACTACTGAAATATGCAATCAGTGAGCAAACTGAATATGTAGTAACACAGAAAAGCATTGCATATTTATATGAAATTGTACCAACGTAAGACACAGAGGAAAGGGTACTTACAGGTCTTCCAGGCATTCCAATTTCACCCTTTATTCCAGGAGGCCCATACTGACCCTACAACAATAAATCATGAAATGGGGGGAATGTTTTTTAAGTTTAAAACTGTTTTGGTACATTAGTGTAGGTATGTTAGATAGAACTGCTGAAGCACTTACAGGGGGTCCGACAGGTCCAGCGGGTCCTCTGTCTCCCTACATGGGTGGTAACACAACCAGATTAGCTTCAACAACAAATGTACCACTGTAATGCAGGCGACACATTAAGACATGAAAAGCAGCAACATATTATATACTGTAGAGGAGAGCTGTGTGTATGTGTATTTTGGGGAGAGAAACAAAACAGTCAAACAGTAAAGACATGTGGTTGAATGCAGTGAGACTCACCTTCAGACCCGTTAGTCCTTCCAGATGCAGAAGATTTCCATCAGGTCCGATTACTAAGCCTGGTTCACCTTTCTCACCCTGAACACATGACACAGCAACATTACAAGTCAGCACAGACTCAATCACAGCAGTGTCTTAATCATGACGAGTGGCTAAATTAATAGATAAACAAGACTTTACCTTCACTCCGTAGCCTGGAAGGCCGGGGTCTCCTCTGTCACCCTTTGGTCCTATAGGACCCTGCAGGATGAACACAGTAAGATTTCTCAGCTTACAAGAGGTCAGAGTAACAGTCATTTGGCAGCAGGAAAGGTTTTGTTCTCGCCGATCAATTGAAGCCATTCCATTAGTTTCCGCCTAATACACTGAACAGTTTATGAATTGCTGAGTGGACCACTGTTTAGACACTGAGTGTAGAAATCAGTGGATGAGATGTTGACTGTAATGCACAGAAGCAGATGATGCTTGCTTAGTTTTGTGGATGTCAAACTTTACTGTTAAATTATCCAGAGGCATTATGGGTATTTGAAAGAAATGGAGCTTGAAGTGAGTGTTAAAAGAGTCTCTTCTTTTTGCCTACAGCAGTTTGCTTCCAGAGGCCTGTACTCCAAAGCCAGTTCAACTTACCCAGGATATGTTTTCATGATCTGGCTAAACTAACCCTAACATCAGCTATCTGGATAACCAGTATCACGAAGCTGGATATCAACTAGTCCAGTCAATTCTGAGTTTTCCTATCCAGCCAGGAGCGTGTTAAATGATTAAGTAGAACAATAGACTGCATATAATAACACAAGAGCCATTTGAAAAAACAAAAGGTGATGACCAATTACAAAAAACAACCCCACCCCCACCTGACATTGATAATAACCTCCTGGACAAACTCAATTTGTTCTAATGGGGGTTTGAACTAGTTCCAGTATCATATTACTCTTCTCCCATCTACCCTCCAACCCCTCCACTTTACACTCAAGGGAGAAGGAAAGGCCACGCACATTAAAATGAACAAGAGGAAAGCAGCAGTCCAGTTGTACTCAACCAAAGTGCAGCTCAACTGGCTCCAATAATATCTTCAACCCCTCCCTCTGCCTGTGATCAGTACCACAGTGAGGACTCAACCTTTATCCCTATGCCAAGCCCAACAAACATCCCCTGCCTCAAAAACTTCAGACCGATTGCCCTTGCATCTGTAGTCATGAAGTTGTTTGAATGCATCATCCTCTCTTATTTGAAATCTGATGGATATGTATCAGTTTGCTTACCGAGCCAATAGGTCTGTTGAGGATGTTGTCAACAAAGCTCTCCACCACACACTACAACACTGAGAGTCACCCAACACCTACGCCCGGATCCTATTCATTGACTTCAGCCTGGGCTACAATAGACCAAACGCGGTCAATCTCTTGTTGGACATGAGTATTGACCCCTGCTTATGTCACTGGATCAGGAGCTTCCTGTGGAGAGGGCAACAGTGGGTCACCATGAATAGCTTTTTATCTCACCCTCTGACCATCAGCACAGCCCCCCCCCCCCGCCCCCCCCCCCCCCCCCCCCCCCCCCCCCCCCCCCCCCCCCCCCCCCCCCCCCCCCCCCCGCCCCCCCCCTCCGCATGGCATCCTCTTATCCTGGCGCTTGTCCCGCTACACAAAGCACTTTACCTCCCACCACAGTTCAGTCACCATTTAAAGTATGCAGATGACACAACTATGATTGGACTTACAACCAACAACAACCAAAACTGATACAAATGAACAGGTCTCCGAAGCAGCCGCTTGGTGCCTTGAAAACAGCCTCCAGACCAGCTTACCACACCTAAAACACTCTAGACTCTGAAGTTTAATGGCACACACATCAACAGGAGACTCACATGGAACACATATATGGACCACATTATCAAAAAAGAAGCCCAGCAAAGCACCCTCCCTACACTGCCATCCTTGAGAACATACTCACCTAACAGTTTTGTATAGCAGCACGGACACACACAAAAGCAAGTGACTGCAGCGCATAGTCAATAAATCTGTTTCATTGAGTTTACCCACCGTGCTCTACCAAAAGCACATTCCACCGACCTCAGTCGTTCAATTTACCTTTATAAGAATATAAGAGTAAGATTTGTATCTTAAGCAGCAGTCAATGGTCTTGAGGCTGAGAGCCAAAGACAAGGTCGGGAAATTGGAAAGCACTGAGAGATGGACTGTTGGTTTTGAGATTTTTATAATAATAATAATAATAATTTAAAACAAAAGGGTCAAAGCACACAAGAGACTATGACAAAGATCATTTACATTCCAATACACTCCACATTTATGGTTATCATAAAGGCAAGGCACATAAATAATGTAATGATGAGACTTACAGGGAATCCAGCTTGACCAGGTAGACCAGGTCCTCCCTGTACAGGAAAAGATATTCATTCATTAGATTGATGTTCTGTGTCATTTGTTTTTACTAACTTTACAAGTAACACAAATCAAATCCACACATGCCTTTTTCTGGCCCGGATTGCTCTGACTCATTGTAAACAGCTGGCTTTGAAATTAGTGCAGCTGTCACTCAGTGCAGATGAATGGTGTACAGCTGCCTTTAATAATATATTAAAATGGAAACAGATGTTTTGTTGTTGTATTTTATAAAGGTCAGACAGTGATGACAACAGGTCTATGTTCTAATGAAGTTTGACATCTTTGAAGCAATCACACACTGTCAGCACTGATGTGTCATTTAAACACAACAGTTAACTGCAGATTTCACCAGGAGGTATAAATATTGGTTTAATATTTGGTGTTGTAAAAAACTCAATGACATGTACAGCCACTTGTTCAGTTTATAGTTATACAAAATGCATTGGGATCTGACTTTGATGGCAATCACTCATCAACTGTGGTACTGATGTCATCTTATTTTTAGAGATGGCAAGATGAGAGTTGTTTTGCTGTATTTTGGTATCAGTATTACTATTTAAACATGAATACAAACCTGAGGCCCAGCACCGCCAACAACACCATCAAACTGCAGGGACACAAAAAGAGAACACCATCACTAATTAAAACCACTCTTAGTTTTTGCTGTATGTCTGGTGTGTGCTTTGTGACGTACATCGCCAGATGTCCGGTAGATGATTTGTCCTGGCGGTCCAGGAGGGCCGGGTGGGCCTGGTAGTCCGGTTCCATCCCGACCTGGGTCACCCTAAAACATGCAGCAACAAGATGAATAGCTACCCCAGCTTGTTAGACATCTAAGACCAGATATTAAGCATATGCTCAGTGTGACACAGCTGTAGTTTTTGTTTGTACTAAACATAAAGAATAAAAAAAATCTTCAAAAAAAGGTTACAATTATTAGTTCATTTTTTTCTTTTTCAAAAGTCTTTAAAGGTCTGAGAAATCAAAATAACTACAAAGGATGATTAACTGTCACTACAAAGACTAACTAATTGCTCTGTGATGAGTGAACATATAAATAAACAGATATTCAGGGATAAAATAATATTCACCCTCTCTCCTTTGATGCCACTGTCACCCTTTGGTCCCTGTAAAATTAAAGAGAGATAAAAGATACTTAAACAAAGGTTAAAGCACTGTTTGTCAAAAAAAACAAACAAAAAACCCCCCAGAAAAAAGAGATTACGTAAAATAAAAACATACCAGAGAAACAGCCATTTTATTTATTGAAAACTCATGACAAAAAAACCAAATGCTTCTATCCTATTATATCACAATAATAAACCTGTTAAGATAAGATAAATAGGTAAGATATAATGGTAATGGTCATTTATATTTACTTAGGGAGATTAACATCTTGCCTAAACTGAAATCAAGGGGGAAATGCGCTTCCTTCAGTCGTCCAAAAAGGTTTAAGAAATGCAGATTAGCATATTGGATAAATTGACAAAATAATCTCAACTCAAGACCCATTTAGGAGCCACACAACTGCATCTCACTGTCTTTGTCAGTGGATGGAATTTGCCCAGCTGTCATCACAATGGATATACAAACAACAACTGAGCCATGAAAACTGGACAAACTCCATAGTGAAGACCCTGACATGCAAGTGAAAAAGCTAGTAAGTCGACTTTGAGTTAAATTGAAGTTACTATTTTCAAGGTCAAGAGTGAACTTTAATGCTTATTGTATATTACTTATTATAGATCTCAATATGATAGTGTATTTTAAAGCAGTTGTTGCCTGACACTGATAAGCTGTGTGATGTATTGTGCACCTCTGCTGTAAAACTTTTCAGAAAGCACTGTGGCCAAACTGTTTTTTAACTTCTTCTGCAATGATGGAAACAGCAGCAGGATGATCAAAAGATAATTCTTTGTCCTTAAACAGGCCATTTTCTCCCCCTCAGGCTGCATACTCGGCTGAACTTAGAAACCCAGAAGGTACCCTATACAAAGGACTTTATGGAATTACCCATTGTGGCCATGGGGGGTACACAGACATAAACATTTGTGGATGCAAAATATTATGTCTGCTACGTAACACCAGGAAAAACAAAACAAAAACCATGAACCTTTCCTTCAAAGTCAAGGATCCTTATTTTGACAGCTTGCCCAGTCTGTAGTGTTACATGGTAAACCACATGCTCTGTTACATCACACTGGTTTCCAACATCTAACACTGTGTTAACACTATGACTTCTCAACAGCTCCAGTATGTGACCTCTGGTATTCAGCTGGTGCATGAAATATTCTTATTTGTCATCTCTATCTATTTTACCTGAGGTCCAGGGAAGCCATCCAATCCTGGTCGTCCATCTGTTCCTGCAAGACCGTCCATGCCCTTCTGACCTGGTATACCAGGCAGCCCGGCTTTACCCTGAGGTACACCAGTAAAAAACAAATTCAGTCAAACACACACAAAAAAAAGTTACAACTGCATCGCCTCTTGTAATATAAAAAGTTTGCTTGCATTGTTTCCCCCCCGTTTCTGCTTCATTAAACAGGACAAGGACCCGATTTCCCCTCAGCAATCAATAATGCTGCAGCTTATTTTTCTCGACCTCAATGGTTTAGAAAACAAACAAGTGAAATGACAGTAGAGGAGAGTAGCAAGGAGAAGTCTACCGCCAATGACCAAACCTGAATGTTAAACAATCTAATTAAGGAGCTTGAGGATGTGCACCCTGCTATCACCTTAGAGACCTTGGTTCAGTCCTCAGTGGCAGTACCTCAGGCTTCTTTGTGTTTCAACTAATTACACATACTCAAATAAAGACCCCTTTTGATCCAATGGTAGAGAAACAATGTGAGATGGAGAAGAGGGCATGAGGCAAGATACTTACTGGAAGTCCGGGCAAGCCAGGAGGACCCTGAAAGCAAAATTAGCCTTGGTTATTTGCAAGTTCACGTATATCTTCCTTGACTACATTTACATGCACACTAATATTCCACTATTATTCTGAATATGACAAAATTCTGAATTTAGTATTGGTCATGTAAGCAGCATATTCTGTTTGGATATTCTGTATTAGGCTTTTTTCCAAATGTAGCATTTTCTGATAAGGACATGTTGGATATGCTGTTTTTATTTGGAATTTGTTGGACATGTATACAGTGCGTTCGAATATACGGTGTACACTAAGCAGTAGCCAGCAGTATGAAAAAAGCTGGGGTAGAGATTCATGCCCAAAAGAAAAGCCCACATTTCTGGTCAGAAGGAGAGGCACACACTTTTAAACATTAGGAAAGACTGGGACATCAGCAGGTTTTTGGATATGCATAAATATCGTGCACCGACCTTTTCAGGAGGAGAAGGTTAAAGGAATGAAAGACGGAGGCTGTGTTTACATGGTCAAACAGGTCCATTACCATTGTAAAACTTTGCATTTTGACACAGAATACAAAAAATTGTACTCTGACACAAAAAGCACAGTGGCAAAGCAGCTACAGCTGTTTTACTTTTCTATATTTTGACATGATAAATGGTAGGGCACATTAGATGGCCGTATGCACAGCTGCATGTAAATGGGAATATTACTGGAATATTTGATGGTTATGTAAAGAGCTTAATAGGATTATCATCTTTTTCAAAATAAGGGCAATGAATGAATGATGAATATTTTGTGCATGTAAACGCAGTCCTTGTGTATTTGCAACTTCCTGCTGGAAACTGTCGGTCCATTTCAATATTCACAGACATGTCAAATTTAAACATGTACAAAATGCATGTTGTTTTTATGACACTTAGTCACACATGTCAAATGTATGGCAGCTAGATCAAAAATCCCATATGATTAAGCTTCACACAAAACAGATTAAAACAAGTAAACAAATGGATTTGAAAAAAAGGTGCTAGCTTCACCTGTTTACCTGCTTGGTTTTTCAAGGTATGCAACTTTTTGTTAATGCTACCATGAATACTTTGCAGTCATTCATTTTCTGTAACCACTTATCCTGTAGAGGGTCGCGAGGGGGCTAGAGCCTATCCCAGCTGACATTGGGCAAGAGGTCGCCAGACCATCCATAGAGACAGACAACCATTCATGATCACACTCACACCTAAAGTAAGTCACCAATAACCTGCAAGTCTTTGCATTGTGGGAGGAAGCCGGAGTACCGGAGTAGTGAACCCTCTTGCTTTGAGACGGCAATGCTAATCACCGCACCACCGTACCAACTACTCAGGCAATCAGTTAGTCCTAATACTGGCCTCTGTTATAGTGGTGACTGTAACATCTGACAGCTACATCAAGATGCTTACTTCTGCAGACAGACTACACTAACATGGTTGATTGACAATTTTAATTTACATTTTCAGGTGAATTGTAAATAGAACATGAGTGTGAGGCCAGCTGTGGTAATAAACATTTATTTTACTGCTTCAGAATTTGTAACAGTGCTACCACAAGACTGCATTTACTATTGAGGAACAAAATGATGAAGACTAATCTTATTTTGAGACACCTGATCCTGTCCTATAGTGACAACAGGACCATGATTTGAAGTTGCCAATTGGATCTGAGATCATAACAGTTACTCTGGGTTGCAATATGGGGATTAAAAACAACAGTTTAAGAATTTTGGCACAGAGAGGAACTACTGCTTATTTTAAGCTTTGTAATGTGATGATTTGAGATCCTGAATATCGTCTGCCTCAGGATTTGAAGTGTTTCTTCAATACACAGTACTGACCTGTTTTCCTTCTGGTCCTCTGACACCAGGAACTCCATTGCTGAAACCTCCACCAGAGCCTTCCATGTCATCCTTCAAACACCAACAAAGATTTTTAACACAAACAGCCAAACAAAACTTATTGTTTATTTTTCCCTCTGTCCTGTTTCATTCATTTTTACATTGAATGCTTTCGGGTCACCTCACGTGATTTACCTCACTTAATCAAACCAATGTGTCTGCACAACGGCTGTCACTGGATATGATCTTTTCAATCTCCATGTATTTATTGATGAGATGTCCCTTGGTGAACTGTCCCAGTCAACCAAATTACACGAATAAAACTAAGCTTATTTTATCTTTTGCTGTGAGACTCTATGTCAAAGGTATCTTCACAAAAACCAACAGATAACTTACAAATCCAACACGATAACTTGGGCCAGGAGGTCCAGGAGGCCCAGGAGGTCCAATTGGTCCAATGGGTCCAGGTAGACCAGCCAGTCCGGGCTGTCCTGGAGCTCCAGGTAAACCAGAGTCTCCTCGAGATCCCTGTGGGATGGAATGACAGGCATAAAATCAGTGTTCAGAATAAATAAATACAAACTTAAGTGACAGAAAATCCGAGAATTTCATCTCAAGTGAAGTGTATCTAACCATTCATTCAGTTCATTGTCAGGAATCTCCTGCACAGCACTACTAATGCTTGTGTCATGCAGCATTTAGTAAGAAAAAGTGTGGTTTAATGGTTTGTAGGATAATGTAACTGCACAAACACTCATGCTAATTGTTCTGGGGCCAATTTCAGACGTCACCAAATGTTAAACCAAACCATAGCCACAACTCAGATTAAACTTTAAATCAAGCCTGCAGCTGACATTATTTGACAAACATTTGCATATTGTTAGAAGACACAAATCCCCTTTGATGGCTGATGTGCTGGAGCCCAGTTACCTGCACATGGGAAGGCTTAGGAAAGTAGGAGGATAAATAGTGGGGCAGAAGATTGGTGAGAAAAGAAAAGTGGGAGCTTGGCTGGAGAAATGAAAGGGATGAGAACAGCTTTAGAAATAGTTGGATGAAAGTTAATATGTCATTCTAGTTATCGAATGGGTATTACACAGTTCTGGTATCCCAAAAAGCACGCTGCCAACTTACACTTCAATTCATGTACCTTCTTCTCAGGATTATGTCTTTTCTGATAGTGGTATCAACAATAAGGACACTTTGGTTTAAGTTGTGTTCTAGATTGTAGATTCAGCTGTAAACTGGCCACTACTTTGATGTAAAATGAAAAAAAAAAAAAAAGAAATGAAAAAAAAAAAGAAAACGATTATGGTCAGAAATCCTCACCTTCTCTCCAACTGCTCCTGGAAGACCCAGCTCACCTGAATCACCCTAGTGTAGCAAAAAGAGTCAGACAAACTATGTTAATAGAAATGCCAGTTTAGGTCAAACTGACATTTGAAATCTAATAATACTCTCTAATAATACTGTGGCTATTGTGCAGGTTCATATCGTTTTTCCAAAAAGGAACAAAATAAATGTTATTGAACATATTTGCGGAAACAGCATCTGAACCTCAAGTCACTAGGTGACTGGTTGCCATGGCAGTAGTTGACAGAAATCTCAGACCCTGCATTTTTTTGGTAAATGGACCTGCACTTGTATAGCGCCTTTCTAGTCATTCGACCACTCAAAGCGTTTTTTTTTCACTACGAGTCACATTCACCCATTCACACACACACACACACACACACACACACACATATTCATACACTGGTGGCCAAGGCTACCATACAAGGTGCCACCTGATACAACACACTCACACACCAGTGGAACAGCCATTGGGGGCAATTTGGGGTTCAGTATCTGCTCAAGGATACTTCGACATGGGGGAAAGCCGGGGATAAAACTGTCGATCTTCCGGTTGGTGGATCGGTGCGCTTTACCTCTGAGCCACACATCTTAGCCCCTCATAGCCTACATATGTTGATACTAGCTGTTGTTTCACCTTTTTCAACCAGCTCATGCTGGTTATGCACAACAAGCAATGTAAAGTCTCCCTTTACAACAGCATTTGAGATAATGTTGAGGCCCCCCCAGTAAGTGAGGCAGACTTTAAACACAATTCAATCTAATGGCCAAACCATGTAACTACAACTTCCAGGTCTGTCACGTGATGCCATTGGGCCCAAAAAGACCTTTGCCAATCGTGTAGACTTAAACTGGGAAAGAGTGTCACAACCCCTGCAAAATTACTGGTTTTCTTATTGGGATTTGAGCCATTTGGTCGAATAACATTTGGAAAGTCTGGAAGAGCCACACAGTAAAATAATTTCATCCCCATTAAAGTTAGTGGAACACTAAAATGGACGTCAGCTCATTGGTCGGCGAGTTGCTAGTGCACTTGCTGTACGTGCCCAATGATGTAGATGATCCAGGTAAATTTGAACTTTCTCGGCTTCAAACCCACTGAGCAACTTTCTTAGGAATGAATAGGGCCCCACCTCAAACACTGTAACCACTTCTCTTTTAACATTAATGGCATAGATGCATAATTATAACTAGATACTGGACCCGCTGGGCCATTGGCAGCTCCCACTTACTCAGGGTTGCCTTACAGAAAGGAGAGGGTTCTACCCAGTATAAGCTGTCTCTCTTTCATAGGTCTCATTATGGTGAAAGCAAACGACCAGATTGTCAAAACTCACAGCACCAGGTAGTCCCGTAAGCTAAGCACTCCATTTATTACCCAGTGATTCAACTGCTAAGACATCCCAATACAATCCTCCAAGGCTGAGGAGTAACCACTATTGAGGAGCTTTGTGATTTAAGTGTGAGGATGCTTAAAATTACATTTTGTCAGTCTTTAAAGAGAAAACAATCATTGTCACGAGGTCACATTACCTTTTCTCCCTTTGGACCAGCAGCTCCTGGGAGGCCATCAGTACCTGGCAAACCAGGCAAGCCCTAGAGTCCGAAAGATTTGGTTCATGTATACAGCTGATGAGGTTAGATTCTATAGATATTTTAATAACAATTCAGAGGGTTTAGAGAATTATTTTGCAAGTGGAGTTGAGAGACAAACACATTGACACCTACAGGTTGACCGGGTGCCCCGTCCTTTCCTGGTGGTCCGAACGCCCCAGAACTCGTTGCTGCTCCTCCTGTAGAGGGACCAGGAGGACCAGGGAGACCTGGGGGACCTGGTGGGCCAGGTGGTCCCTACAACAACAAAACAAAAATACTTTTGCAAATGGCAGATGCACAATAATTTCTGATGTCTTTGCAATCAGAGATTTCTGGCTTCATGTCAGATGAAAGTATTCAGGCACAGAAATGTCTTAAACCATCAATTAATCGTCTTTGTGTTGACTTTGATTGTTATTTACAGATACTGGTTACAGTCTTATTGCAACAAAGACGACGTACTCCACTTCATAGTTTTTTATGGCTGAGTAGTATTCAAAATCTAAATTCTTCTCACCTGCACAGATTCCAGATCAGGGAACCCTGAGCCTTCCATGTCCACAAAAGTCTGAAACACATTCAACTAAGATTAGTTTTATTTATCAAATGAGTCACGAAGGCAGGCAGTTGTATGTCTAAACATTACACAGCATGTGACCAAGGCCAAGATTGACTCACAGATCTGAGTCCTGGTCCTGGGGGTCCCGGGGGTCCTGGGGGTCCCCTGGGGCCAGGTTGACCCTCTCCACGGTCTCCCTGTGTGCACGAGACTCATTAGGACAAGGTAGATTTCTTCAACAGATAGATCCATTCAAACTGACATGATTTTTTTAAATTGTACACATTACTAATGTACTTTGTTTTTTATTCTGTTGATCATCTAACCTTTTCTCCTTTAAGTCCTGGGTCACCAGGGGTTCCTGGGAAACCTGGAGGTCCTTCAGGACCCTGTGTAAGGAAAAAATATTGTTATGGTACTACAGGTTGTCATGGTGTTAATACAAGGCAAAGCTAATTATAAAGGAGTATATATCTCTTTCAACTACCATCATTACACGACCTTTGGACAGTTCATATGATTTAAAGCCATTTATCAATGTTCTTGGTATTGTGCAGGAAAAACAACCACTTACAGTTTTTCCATCCTCACCAGGGTCGCCCTGTGAGAATGAAATAAAGAATTAAATGCACGTCCTTTTGTGATTTTGAAAAACTTATAACATACATGACAATTCTGATTTCCACATACATAAATGTTTTAACTTTATATTTAACCTTTTAAAAGAATGACATTTAAAATTTAGGAATGAAACTATTTTTTTCATTGTCTCTCAACAGAGCATGCAACAGAAAAAACGTGCTTTACATAGAGCTTGTCAAAAGTATTATATTTCAGTACTTTTTCAGTACCATGTTTTTTGAATGATACGATCTCCGTGAATAATGCGATAGTTTTGAAAGTACCAAAGCTATAAAAAAACTAGAATTGTCACTTTATGGTTGTATGCCTCTGTGACGAAGTCAACTTGCGCTTACAGTTTACATCCATGTCTGTGAAAGCACGGAAGCTTCACAAACGTCGTTCCCGGCAGCACAGAAGATCTATACCATCAGCACAATTTCAAGGCAGGCACCCAAGATTAATAATTCAGTATCTGACCAAATCTGATACATCTGTGACTGATGTCACAGTGAAGTTGACCTTTGACCTTTTGGATACAAAATGTCATCACATCCTCATTATCTCATATTAGACATTTGTGTGATATTTTGTCATAATAACCGTATGAATTCTTGAGTTATGACCCACAACATGTTTTGCAAGGTCACAGTGACTTTGACCCCTGACCACAAAATTCTGACCAGTTTATTCTTGAGTCCAAGTAGATATTTGTGCCAAATTTGAGGAAACTTCCTCAAGGCCTTTTTGAGATATCACATCCACAAGAAAGAGATGGATGCAAGGCCACAGTGACCTTGACCTTTGATCATCAAAATCTAATCAGTTTGACGGTGAGTCCAAGTGAATGTTTGTACAAAATTTAAAAAAAATCCCTCCAGGTGTTCTTGAGATACTGTGTTCACAAAAATGAGACAGGCAAGGTCACAGTGATCTTGACCTTTGACCGATGAACCAAAATCTAATCAGTTCATTGTTAAGACCAAGTAGACAAATTTGAAGAAATTCCCTCAAAGCGTTCTTGAGGTATAGCGTTAAAAGAATGGGACTGACGTACAGACAGATGTAAAGTCGGACAACCCGAAAACATAATGCCTGGAGCCACAGCTATCGCTGGCGCAGACACATAAAAACAGATCTAGAATCAGATTTTCAACCCAAGGCCACACAGATGAAAGGGCGGGAAAAAAAACAAAAACAAATGGTCCTCAACCTGTGGCTGTTACGGCATTTTCTCTGGCAATAAACCCACCACCTGACTGGAGGTCTGGAGGCCTGTGTTCAGTAACTGTTTCTGTATCAGCACTATGTGTAGGTTGTTAATAAAAGGAAAAAAAAGCAAATTGCTACTTTTTGTGTTTAAGACTTTGTTTCTGCTGGTCAAGGTATCCAGTAATGTTCTTTTAAAAAAAAAAAAAAAAAACTAGTATTGAAGTTTAAAACGTTGGTATTGTGACACCATCACTTTACAGTTTAACAAAAACAACCACACGCTGTGACATGAGATCTTGGTTCAGACACTGTGCTTATTTTCATGCAAAAAATTCAACTATAGTCTACTAACTGGCTCTCCATCAGTTCCTGGTGGTCCCTGGGGGCCCGGGGCACCTTTTGGCCCAGCTGGTCCTCGGGGTCCGGGGACTCTGGAGGCGACTGAGCCGTCACTGCCGACTGAAAACTCGGTTGCGGGCCCTGGAGGGCCAGGGGGACCGGCAGGCCCAGGTGGGCCGGTGTCTCCCTTCTTTCCTTGGTAGCCAAAGCCTGCACTGCCCTGGAAATAAAGACGCATCAGTGTTAGCTGAGGTTGTGACTAAGGCTTTTTCAGTCTGTCAGTTCAAGGTGGGCCTGTGCTATTTTACAGTGATTACTGTCAACTTTACTAGAAATCCAAACAAAGAAATTAACTGAATTTCCCTTTTTTAATATTGTAGCACTCCTCATCTGGGGAGGGATCATAATGTATCATGTACAGCATTATCCTGTTCGTACAAGACACCTGTTCCATCATCAATTGTAACTTTACTTCTTGGTGACTTAAACCAAAGAGGCAAAAGTCTCCCAAAAATGACAGCATCTCCAACTTACCTTTGCTCCCTTTTCCCCTGGTTCTCCCTGAAAATGAAAACAAGAAACAGAGTCACGTCAGTGCCAACAGTCTTTGTTGGCTGTCTCATTTGACTATGTGTGACTAAACTGCACTGACATGAGTATCCACTTGTTCAAGAACTTGATCTAAAGCACTTCAAATTGAGTGTATACACTTTCATAAGGGGTGGCATCAATGGAAATGTCACTCTGCTGAGTAACAGAACTCCACGCTCAGATATCTGTTTTTAAATCTTAAGGAAAAATAAAACTTAGAACCAATCCCTGTTTAAGTAAAACCAATCCATAAAACAATACACTTTAGCCTAATCATAACAGAAATGTAACTTCTGTTGTTGACAAAAAAAGTTAGGTGCATGGTACCTGCTATTTATAGTTTGATTTTTTTTTTTTTTGTCTTTGTGTGTCTGTATCCCCTGCTGGATTAAATCTATGTGTTTTAATTTTCTTTTTTTCCTTGTTTGGTGTATATTTTTAGTATTGTGTAAATGTTTTAAGACAGAAGAATATCAAATCAATGTCAACGACGTTGTCCTTATTTAGACATTTTCCCATCATTGTGACAGCATTTGGGCATTATAAGACATTTTACAAGTTGTCTACAGGTATCAGACACTTCAATTTAACTTTTCAATATTTGTTTAAATTTAATTAATTTTTTTGGATAAGTCATCTATTTACTGTTGAAGTATTTGAAGGGAACTTTAAAGACAAGTATGTGTGTGGTCCAGTGCAGTCAGGTTTCATGCAGGAACACAGGATAACTGGAGTGTGTTAGGATTATCTACTTTTTGCCAGGTAAGTGTAAGTATTAAGTAAAAAGACTGTATTAAGTTAAGGGTTAAGTTGTTTTTTATTTTTTATTTTATGTATTTATTTTTATTTTACCCATAGTGTATTTCAAGTGTCTCACTGTTGGTGGTTATTGTTTATTGTCTTTTGCTGTTTTTATGTGTATTAGCCCAGAGATCGCAGTATTTTGTTATATTGCTGTGCAATGACTATAAAGGCATTGAATTGAATTGAACTGAACTGAACTGAATTAAAGATTTGTAACATCAGAAATGGGACTTTCACACAGAAGAGCTTGACTCATTTTGAGAAATTAAAAACTGGATATATTAGACAAAATGTTTGTCAATTAAGACTTCACAAATTCAAGTTTAAGACAATTTAATGACTTTTAAGGCCTTATATTTATAAAACTGAATTTAAGACTTCTTAAGGACTGGCAGACAGTATACAGTATGCTTGCATAAAATCAGGACTAGCGGCTCCCTCTTGTGTTGTTTTGGGAAATTTCACTAAGGCTTATATCACTGCTGCTAATACCCCTGCTCTCATTTTTGCTTATAACTTATACTTTACTCAGCTGCCCACTGCACCCTTCACAAGGACAAACTAGGTTAAAAAAAAAAAGTTTTGTGGCATAATATCAGTGCATCCCACCCCTCACACCGCATGACAAAGATCCAAGTATTCCATCCACTATCACAGTAGATCCTATATAAAGGTCCAAACCTTCTCTCCACGGGCTCCACCCCGTGAGCTGGAGCCAGAGCCAGCCTCTCCCTTCGGCCCAATTGGACCCCTGTCTCCTTTCATTCCTGTATCCCCTCGGTCACCCTTTTCTCCTTTCGCCCCAGCTGCCCCTGAAAACAACGGCAAAAGGACAGAGTCATTAATGCCCTCATGAAAAGACCTTTCAAAAATGATTAACGATTGTATCCCACATCCCAAACAATAAACAGGACCCAAAAGAAGAGGAGAAAAGAGGAAAAGAAAATGACTTTTTGCTTGATGGAGCGAGAATCCCAGTGTGTGTGGCTGTGATTTAAAGGCCATGTGGAGGTTTTAAGGTGGTAACTGAATGCACCTTCCCACACCTGCATGCACCACCATCCTGATATTTCTATTCTGGTGTGAGCTGTATTGACCTTAAACTCTATAGCCACAGTGTCACTTTCAGCTGAGCTTGTATCAAATGCAACCCACTTTCACAGTTGCATAGAAGTCGCACATCTCCAACGCTGCTGACATGCACAGCAACATGATGTCCGCTTCAAGCAGGCTTTTTCAGTGTTCCAGTTCAGGGGTTAGCAATGGAAAAATGGATCCCATTACTCTGAACGGATACATTAGCATGGAATATTCACTGAAAAAACTAATACCTCATATCATAGCATAAGCAGCATAAACCAATCTGCAATATTTTCCAATCCTTTTTATTTTTAAGAAATAAATATCTCTGAAGTGCTACAAAAATTGCCAAAATTATTTCTTCACTCCCTCTTCCTTTCCCTCTCCCTCTCCCTCTCCCTCTCATGAACTCGTCTATTTTCTCTTTGTGTACATTTTTTCAGAGGATTACAGCCTGAACGGCCCAATTTCCATCCTCCTGCTGGCTTATATACCAACATGTCCACCACCCTGCATGAATTCAAAAGCATAAAGTAGATCGATCATGCATTCCTATGACTGTGTGCTTTTGAAATCCATGTGAGGTCCTGCATGAGGAGTACACATGAAGTAGGCAAACCAAACTAGAGAGTAAAACACAGATGATCTGGATGCTCGTCTCTGTGTTTTTCACTACCCTTGACCCACCTGGTGACCCAGGAAGTCCGGGCCTGGACTCCTCAGAAAGTGATATGTGCTGGGAGTCACTTGCTGAACACAACGCAAAAGACAGTGTTAAATCAAGTTTCCAGATTAACATTATTTCAAGTCAGTTACATGGGTGCTCCAGGACGTGGGGTAAGGTATGATAGTCTTGTTGAGAGGGGTCTGTCATTCTGTATGCCCAACAAGGGACTTGACTTTGTAAGCATTTTTCATGGATTTACTGTACATGAGTCTGAAGTACATCATAGACCTTTGTCTTCTTCTACCCAGTTTGTAGATAGTTTTTTTCACAGTGAAAGTCAGAGTGTTTGGAATTTCCTCTACAGGACTTCGTCTCTATCATGAACAGACATCTATGGAACATCTTTACCAATCTGACAACACGTACAACATTTAGAAAACGCACTGCAAGAAGCTCACAAAACGATGGCAACTGTTTCCATGGGACACTAAAAAGTGATGCACACGGCTGGGACATGCTTGTTGTTCCCACAGTTTTTGGTTTATGACGTTATACGAGTCACCAGTTTGCTTAAAAACAGCAAAAGGCTATTGCTGGCTTAACAGCAGATATCTGCAATAATATCTCAATCAGGTGAATGTTAAAAAAAAGCCAAAAAAAGTAGATTTTAGGTGATTTTCCAACAGCACTGATGGATAGCCGACTTCAGTAACTTCATAAGCCATAAATCGTGGCAACAAGTATGTCCCAGCTTCACTTTTTAGTGTCCCCTGAAAACAGTTTCTGTTGTGTTGTGAGCTTCCTGCAGTGTTTTTTTCTAAATGCTGTGCATGTATGGTAAAATTGGTGAAGATATGTTCTCAGTTTGCTTGTGTTGAATCTATGTGCATGTGTTTTCTTAATTTGCAGTGCACTGAGCTTTTTGGGGCAACCGCAGACAGCGGCATCTCATGATGACTACTGAGTTCCATAGAGTCCTACATCAAAGACCTACATCTTTATATTTAGCAATAGTGTGGATGCTTCATTAAAGGGGAAGTACATCTGTTTTCAAAATTCATACATGTTGTCCCTATGGTCTAAGACAGTCCAAAAATATGAGTGAACATGAAAAACTATAAAGTCTGGAGCTGCTCCATAGACAGTGAATTGGGAAAGAAGTTCTAGATAACACTGTGATCACCCAGGGAAATGTTTTGAGTATACGGGTACATTTTCAATTTCAGAACTGAGGACACGACAAAAGAACAAACCTCATTTGGGTCCAGAAAAAAAGTAAATTCTGTGCATCCACAAAATTAGCCTCCGATTCAGTGACTCATGTTCATAAATATTGACTGAAATTTCCTAGAGCATGGAAATAACATATCAGAAATCTTAATTTAGTTGGCATTCCCCTTTAAAGTCATATGTAATATTGGTATATTCAATATGTGTACTTGATATTACTGACAATGCAATTATCAGGTTCCAAACAAAAAGCGTAGTGCCTCAGAAGATAAAATTAAGATGGCAATGTCACTCATGTGACTACCACTAGATGGTGTCAGTGTAAGACATTTTAAAATCCTACACTATGGCTTTAAAGCTACAGTTGGTAACTTTAATCAAACTGGTAACTGTACATCATATTTGCTCAAATTTTGACAATATTCCGAAAGAAGTACAAGACAGATAGTCTGCTCCTCTTCTTCCTACTGCCTCTAATGGCATTTGCTACAGTAGAATCTACCACCACTCAACAAAAACAACAGATCAGAGCTGAGGAGTCTCTATCGCAGCTGTCAATCATATCAATCACTCTGTAAACTGCAGTCAGCCATCAGACTAGGCAGTGCTAGTCAAATATGAATCAAGAGTCTCTTACTGCATTGCCAATTTCTCACTGTAAATGTGTTCAGAAATATATTTTAGTGTACTATTTAGCTGTAAGATGAGACACTGTGTGTTCCAATACCTATGCTACCATACTACATAGATTGCCAGAAGAAGATTTATTATGTTCCAATACACAGTATGTCAAATGCAGTATGCCAAAAATCCCAGGATGTTCTACTACATCCAGTCCAATTTTGCAGTATGCAAGCCAGCATGCTTTTCTGACCCACAATCCTCTGCGCAGTGGACAATACATCACATTGACGGAACCACAAACAGATGGCATCTTGCCATCTCATTAACAACTGTTTGACAGCTAATTGACAGCTGTCAGAAGTCGCAATGATGGATGACAGTGCATTCAAGTAATAGTTTTGCTTTATATCCAAGGTAAAAGATATAAAAGCAAGAGGGTCAGAGTTCAGGGTGTAATATTATGAGAAAGTAGTATGTCCTGATTGTGTGCATACTGCTTGCCACAATACGTACTTTTTAAGGGCAGCTGCAGTACCTACTAAAATTAAAAAGAAAAAGTATGTGATTCAGAACACATCCAAAGTTTGGGTCCCAGCCACCATGTTGGAAATAGTCGACCAGGTTACTGAGCACCACCCGCCAGCCGCACCAGCTGTCTCATGTTACTGCTAAACAGTACACTAATATATGGAAAGTAAATAAGCAATGCGGCAAGATATTCTTGATTCATATTTGATCAGTGCTGCCTAGTTTTACAGTTTACTGCAGTTCATGAGCATTGATTGACATGAATGACAGCAGCAATGAAGACTCCTCGACTCTGATTTGTCGTTATTGTGTATCGTTCATGTGTTATTAAGCCATTAGAAGTGCTACGAGGCATTAGAGTAGGCAGAGGAATTATTGTTTTTTTCACAGATTATCTGTCTCATTAAGTGCTGTGTGAATAAGTGAAAGTTTCAAAAAATATTAAAAAAGTTTTTTTTTTTAAAAAAAAGTTACAGACTACAGGTTTAAGGGTCTTTTCATGACAGTTTGACAATGGAAGACCTTGAACGATACATAATATAGAAAATGAAGTACATGGCAGACAAAAATCTGTTTCACATTTTCTGTGGATGGGGGTAATTTAAAAGTAAAAAAGCGGCAGCAAAAAATATTTTTTTAATATAATTCACACAGAAAGTAATACCCACACTGACGCTCCAATGCCCATCCCAAATGAGACTTTCAACTTCTATATTGCATGAATCCTTATGTCCACCAGATGGAGACATGTGTCAGTAAATATGTTTGTTGCAAGCTCTGACTAGCTCAGCTATGCATGTTCAAGGAATATGAACTCTGCAACACCACGTGCAGTCATGAACATTCCTCTTCATGCCCAACAGGTGAGCTAAGTCACATGTCAGCATCTGGAAGAACATCTATTTTCCATCTTTAAAAGCAAAATTTTAAATTTATGAAAGGGAGTGACACGGTAGAACTGCAAGGGGCAGATCAAAACGCATCTGTAAAAACACTCTGAAGAGGGCTGGCATAAAGAAAGTACGCTAATCTTTTTGACTTCTGTCCAGTGTGAAAATAATACAGAAACATAAGCAATGTGGCATCTCAAGTTAGTGTTGAGTGATCTTCAAATAAAAAAAAAGGGAAAAAAAAGAAGTCTTATCTGTTTCCACGTAAACTCACCTGTTTCTCTTGCAATTAACAGCTCATCTTTCCTGGTCAGTGGTGGCTGCTGAATGGGCCTGGAAGATGGAGGAGTCGTCTGCAAGGGAGTAATCATGCAACAGAGAGAGATACATATTTAAAAAGGGCAATGGATGACATTTGCTGGAAGCAACACAAAGCCTGCTCTACATTTTATGGCTCCGGATCTGCCGGTATCCCCCCTGCCTTGAAGAAACAACACAAGAGTCATGTGCATTGCATGGGAAAAAGTAGGCATTGTGTTAACATTCAATCGCACTAATGTTTACAGTTTGTGCAGCCAAAGCTCTCATCCTAACTAACAAGCTTGTTTCCCAGGTCTACATGGAGCCTTTTAAACAGGGTAAACATGATTAAGTCAACATGTGCATTAAAAAACAATAACAGAACTAAACCTTTTTCTTTATTTTCTTTTTTTGGCAAATGGTTATTGTTTTCAGTAATTGCAGTTTATGTGTTAATCGCTGTCAGACATCTCATGCCTGGGCTGGGTTGCAAAACTGCTCTTTATGTGATCATTATGAAGGCTGTAGGAGAAACACAGTTCCCAGTCTATCACACTGATCTAGACCTCTGTTGCAAAATATCATTACCCCAGAGTTAAAAGGACACCCAGAGTACAATAACTGAGTTCATTTGCAATACAAATGACATACGCCAACCTTCATTACTAGTCACTTTTGTGTATTTGTGTGTGCTGCCACTTTAAACCTCATTGGTAAGCTGCACAGCTAAACTAGAAAAAAAAACATGATCAAATAAAAGGGGTTGACCTTAGCAAAGGATAGGGTTTGTGTGTATGTGTGTGTGTATTCCTGTACAAGCTACATAGTGAGGACCAACAAAATGTATTTACACAACAGTTATAAGAACATTTTTGGAAAGTGAAGACATTTTGGCTGCTCCCAATTTTTCCAAGGCCTGTTTGAGGATTAAGATTTGGTCTAAAGGTTGAAGTTACAATTAATTTTCGGTTTGGGTTAGGGATAGGCATTTAGCTGTGACGGCTAAGGTTAGGGTAAAGGGCTAGGGAATGCATTATGTAAATCAGGGTCCCCACAAAGCTACAAGTACAAAAATGTGTGTGTATGTGTTTGTGCCTCCTTGTCAGATAGCTACCCAACTTTTTTTTGTTTTTACTGCCTTTTATGACTGTATTAATGACTCAAATTCATTGTATCATCTAAATGACTAAATATACAGTACTCAGAAATAATACTTTTTAGGTTTTTGCGTGCCCTATTTAGTACAGTGTATTTGTAGATATAAACATAGATTTTGGGGGATGATGCATGTCCCTGTCAGTATTTAGAGCATGTGCATTTTTCACCCCCAATGAAAACGTTAAAGTAGCAGAGGACTTTTATTTTGACAAAATTTAAGAGATTTGCGCTATAAAATATTGATAAAATAAAAAAAAAAAATCATCAGAATGCAGGATAGTAATGGTCTGAAACTTAAAATTTTCTGGCGGAGAATCCCCAAACCCCCTCTTTCATATCTGAATTCATCTTGCCCAGTTCTTGAAACAAAACCTATACCCTTGTTTGCGGACTAACGGAAGACAGATCAGTCTCCAGTCTACCAACAATCCTCTGTCACTAAAAACACAGCTGAACTGAGAGAGGCAACATAAGTTATTGAAGGTCGGGGGAGGTGGGATCACTCCTGCTCTCAAACTGCCTTTGGGTAAAAAGTTTAGAGGGAGAGGAAACAATGCAAATACCCTCCCTCGTCTGTAACTCATTCTTCACCGGTGACACACCTTGAATTGTCACCTGTGGAATTCAGAGAGGAGTGGGATAGAGAATGTAGACGAGGGGGCAACTGAGGGGGCAACGTGAAGCCACTGTTGATAATTAACCAGTTTCCTTTCTGAGGAATTCTTCCTGCTGTGTTGCACGGCACTGGCTATGCTAAGAATTTGGCCCGACCACTATTGACTGTTCTAAGTTGATATATGTATTAATGAGATAAAGAATACCCTGTTTGTTCACTCCTTCACTTATCCATCATAGCTGGAGGTTGACGGGTGGGAGGCTCCGATCTTAAAAACATAGTGTTGATAGATTTGAACCACACAACCCCCTGAATCTAAGAGCAGGTATGCAGCTCCCTCCCTAATGGACATATTCCAACTCTGCAGTAGTGTGTTCATTTTGTTTTTGTTTTTCAGTACATGCACTATAAAGTATCACAGAAGAAACTTAGTAGCCTTTAGGATGAAATAAAACTGTTTATAAAATGCAGCAACCAAAGTTTGAGTCTCACATGTTTGACTCTTATTGGCTCCTGCATTATAAAGTAGAACCAGGCTTCAAAAAAAGAAATTACTTGAACAGAAACAATAACGTCTATTCCCCAAATAGTGCTGTATTTCATTAAGACTTAAATGCATACTAAATGGAAAAATTGCTCCTTAGCCAACCAGTTAGCGCCTTGGTATTTTGAAATGAAAGAAATACAGGCATAGCTCCCTCAGCACCCAGCTTAACTTTGCAAATTTGATCAGCTTTTGCACATATCACATATCACAGCAACAATCTTAAATGTTGTTAAATGTTAACAGCCCGTTAGTACAAACCTGGTCAAAATATCTGTGTTATTTGGCAGAGATGCAACGGATCCAACATTTTATTTCAAACAGGGCGAGAAGCTCATAGAATTATTTTCTAATATTGAGTAAAATAAACAGGTGAAAATGATGAATAATGATCCTAAATATTTAACAACAACGAAAGGGAGCTCTTTTAATAACTAAAAGCAGGAACTAGCACATAAATAAATGATTTGTGCATCTGCATAATTTTCATGGCTGCAGGGAGGAAAATAGGCAATATGGTAAAGAAGAGAGAAACTGTTCAGACACTCATTTATGTGTATTTATATTATAATGAAAGGCTAATTTCTTTAATCTGAATTAAGATGTTTTTTCCATTTTGTTTTAGTGCCAGCAGCTACAAATTAAAGGGACATTTCACCCCAAAATCAAAAATACATATCTGTCCTCTTACCTGTAGTGCAGTTTATCAGTCTAGATTGTTTCGGTGTGAGTTGCCAAGAGTTGGAGATATCGGCTGTAGAGATGTCCGCCTCCAATGTAATAAAACTATATGGCACTCAGCTTGTGGTGCTCAGGGTGCCAAAAAATACACTTAAAAACTCAACAGCAATGCCTCTTCCCTGAAATCATGACACAGTTACTCAAGATAATCCACAGACCTTGTTGTGAGCAGTTTCATGTAGGAACTATTTTCTTTCTACCGAACTGCACTGTAGTGATACACAACTGTATCACCATGCATAAGGAACACCAACTAGCTCAAACCAAAGCAATCTAGATTAATAAATAGCACTGCAGATAAAAGGAAATCTATGTATTTTTGATTTTGGGGCTGAACTGTCCCTTTAAAGTGTGCATTAGATTATGGGGACATTGGATCCTGGTTATGTTATCAATCATTCAGGACAGTTTGGCAGGTCTCCAAAAGGTACAACAGTTTTCAATATTTATGGGTCACCAAGTCAAGTCTCCTCATCTTATTGCCTCCAAGTCTCAAGTCAAGTCGAATCTCCTAGCCAAGTTCTCATATTTGCAAATTTAAGTCCAAGTCTCAAGTGTACAGCTCCGTCTGTCATGACATGATGGACATTACAGACAACTGCTACTAATAGCTCAGAGGCTGTACTCTACCTGGAGCAATCAGCACATACAGTCAGAATTAAGCTCTTGAAACATTTCCTCTTTGGGCTTCATGCTGAAGGAGACACTTGGACTGCAGCAGTGTCACTGCTAAGGGTGACTGACTAGCTCTGCCATCTATCACCATGAATTCCAGGATGACAAAATGGAAAGTTTCACTTGTACAACTCTCCCTGTTTAGCTCGTCCCTGCCCAGACTTGCCTTAATTGCACTGGTTGGACAATTGTGAAGAGTGTAGGTTCTTCTGTCTGTGAACAGACATCAGACGGAAAAAAACAGCAGCAGGTAGGCATTAGATGCCAGCTGTTGTCTTTTACATTACATAGCATATTACATGATGTTGATGAATACCTACTGAACAGATGGAAAAGCCCCTTATAAAAAGGTGCAGAGTATATGGCAGTAATGATGAAGAGACTTCCGACTGGAGGTGCCTGACCCTGCCCTCCCCTGTCTCCTTCTCTTACTTTCTTTCCACCTCTGTCAGTTCCTGTGCACCGCTGATTGAGAAACCAGCCAGAATAACAAAGCCTTGAGGCAGGGGGCCTCTGACTTGGATCAGATCAAGTCCAAATTGACATCTGGTTTTTCTAACTCTCCACTGTAATTGTGAGTGGGAGTGCACGCATGCACAGAGGTGGTGTTTGCAGGGTGGAGGCTGTGCTATATTTCAGTCTGTGTGGCTATCTTTGAGGGTGGGAGGATGTGAGTGGTGTCTGTGGAATCTGATTGTGTGTGAGTGTGAGAGAGACAGAAAGCAGAGAGAGGAGATAGAGGGACAAAGGGGGTTAGATAGAGAGAGTGACAAAAGCAGAGATGAAGGAAGACACCAAAATATACAAGGACATGCAGTGATTTAGACAACTTGCATGGGTGAGTGCAAAAAGATAGAAGGTATAAAAGCAAACCCATGAAAGTGTGAGAGAACGGAACAGTGCATATGTGCATGGTGGGTTAGAGACTACCATCTGTCAGGGGTCTTGCGCCATCTGTTATGTTAGGCCATCATCCAGGTGATAAGTCTACATCTATCCATTGCATACAAACTTCACCTGACACCAGGTAAAGCCCCTGTTTAAGCATGCTCGGTTCATGCTGAATTCGTGCTAAAACTAACATTCAAAGCTTAAAGGGACAGCACAGATTTCTGAAAGTGGTGTTGTATGAGGCACCTAGTCAGTGTATTTCCAATTAGGGCATGGCAATATGAAGGCATTACATCGTTATCGAGATACGAGACGGTATATCGCCTTAGATTTTTAAAATTATTGTATCGTGGTATGGCATAAATGGTGTTTATTTCCCTCATTTTAAAGGCTGCATTACAATAAAATCATATAAATTCATCAACTTACCAGACTTAATTGTTTTAATGTTTGCCTTAATTGACTTAGTCGTTTTATACACATCATCATCATGATTACTGCTGAAAAATCTCATTGTGTTACTATTTTCTAAAAAAAAATAAAATAAAAAAAGTCAGAAGGGTATTTGTTCAGTAATATAAATATCGAGATATATATGGTGTATCGAGATATAGCCTAGAAATATCATGATATGACTTACAGGACGTATCATCCAGCCCCACTACCAATACCCATTTTCTACAAAAACTCGCACTGATATGCATGTTTTTAAACAAACAGCCAATAGACTGCTTTCCTATTGCCAATAGACTAGGGCTGTGTACACACCTTTCTGTTTTTTTTGTTGTTGTTTTTTTTTACAACTGTCTCACGTTCAATGTTATGGACAGGCTGGGAACCAGGTTAGTAAACAGTGGAAGGCAGCATGGAGGCCAGTGAAAATGTTATGGTGATGACTTCCTTGTAAGTCTTACTTATTCAGTCTCTCTTCCAAACTTGGCGCAGACTAATTTGCAATGATGTTTGAGTGCTGCTTGGGGCTGAAATTAGCCTGTTCACCAAGGTGTCAAATGGCCCGGGTGTGAATGCAGATTGTTTTTTTGTGCACTGGGAAAGGGGCTCCACGGTAGATTTCAGTTGGCATGCTAACAGTTTGGAAGAGTATGCAGGAATAATTGCACAGACGCTAAGCAATGTATTGCTGTGGAAAGGGGCAGCAGCAAAACATGATTTAGCCACCTAAAAAAATCAGTATCAGTTTAAGTGTGTGCCATATTGACCATATTTTCACCACTTTACCTTGCTGTCAGACAGTGATTTCCAAGAGTGAACTGAGGCCGTTATCTATGCTCTCTTCAAAGCCACCAGACTCCTTCAACAAAACCAGAAATTTTTACCTTGCAACATACCGTAGTTGCTCGTCTACTACTGCCGCAATTGGTTGGTTTGTTTATGTTATGGTGTGACTTCTGTAAATCCAAACTAGCCCTTTTAAACACCAAAGTCCCACAATAACGTAAACAAACTTACCAATTCAGGTAGTGGAAGATCAGCAACTCCTGTGTGCTGTGAGTTAAAATTACTGTTTCTGTCAAAGGAGTTCGGTGGCTTTGAAGAGGGCATAGATAACAGCTTGAGTTCTCCATCAGAAAGGGTGGTCTGATGGCAAAGTAAAGCAGTGAAAATATTGTTAACATAGCACACACTTAAACTGATATTGATTTTTTTAGGTGGCTAAAATACATTTTGCTGCTGCTCCCATCCATAGCAGTACATTGCTTAACTTCCATGGTGGCACTCATGTCTGTTTCTCCAAAACTAGGGGCGTGCTGACCACAGTTTACTGTATGTGATACACTGACTATGAATAACTACCTTATACAGCCCCCAAAATGGGAACTATCCCTTCAACATTCCTTTTGTTGGCCTTACTTCAAATAAAATAGCAATAAAACCTCAGTATTAGTTATTAACTCCTAAAGTTTTGAAAGGCCCAGTTTTAACTCAACAAGGTCACTTCCTTTCTAGTCTGACAGGAGGAAACTTATAAACCCTCTTTGTTTCCAAATCTATAAGACAGAAGCAGCTCAATTTCCAGACATCAACTCAGCAGTTTTTAATCTCTCTTGAGGGATGAGTGTTCACTCACTTACAGCGAGTAACTTGAGACATCAGTGGTATATTATCTAACAGTGGGATGACTCAGTTTGCAGAGGCACGGCCTGCTGTTAATAATAATCTTCATCGGCCAGGTATACACATCTGATCAGTTGATTGAGTCCTCTTTAGGGAACAAAGCATTCTTTGATAGTTTTTTCTTTCACTCTCTTGTCTTTTGATTTACAATTTTACATCAAACACACTTTCCTGTGAGAAAATGGTAGACCAGCCCATAATGTTCAATACAATGGACTGAGGAGAATAAGGGTAACATAACTGCAAGGAACAGTACTGTTATTGATAAAACATCATTCAGTCCAGCAGGTGAATACTGCCCTACCTTTGTAATAAGTAAAAGAGCACAACTGTTAAAAAAAAAAAAAGAAGTTGTTCCATACCGTCCATCTGTGTCTCTCCATGTCTGGTTTTGGGGGTCTGGACTCCACATAGCCACTTCCTTCACCTGAAGCCTGAGGAGACCAATTAGACATTTTTTAGTTTAAAGTCAACAAGATGACTGTTTTTGTTTTATTGAGTTTTACTTAATTTTGTTTTATTTAGAGACCTGTAATATCTGAAAACATTCTTTAACTTTGTTTGTGTTTTTGCAACACATGTCATGTTTAGAAACTTCGTCAAATTCAAGTCAGTTATAAAAGAATCTTACATGTATTTTAATTACGTAAGCTTTACGCTGTTGACTTTATGCGAGAGGCAAACCTCCCTGCCCTTCCATGCGCCTACATGGGAAGCCTAAGGCAGGGAGAGCAGCAGCAAATACCCCCGGGAACAGAACAAAGCCAGCATCAATGACAAACACAGATGACATTGATAAGTCAGACACAGCATGAAAAGGAGGAGCTGGGGTGGAGGAGGGTTGCAAAGCTGCTTGCAGAGGAAGCAGCCACAGTAGGTTGGCCAAAGCAGTTTAAATAGGGCACCCTGAATGAGATTTGCCAATTGGTTGCATAGAAAGGAACCATGTGATCTATCAGCTGACTCCTGTCCATTAATCAGCTGATCCATCAGTTGATTGGGCTGTTTGAGATCAGCTGATGTAGCTGGAATGTGAGCTGGGCTTGACATTGTGTCCTGCTTGAACTAACGCTATGCTCAATTTGACTGTGTTGTCTTTATTGCTATACATGTGTTTTTTAAGCCACCTTCTGGGCCAGGTCCCTCTTGAAACAGACTGATCTCAATGAGCATTTTACTGGGTTAAATTAAGGTGTTATTTAATACTGAACTTTCTAAATTGTCACTGCTCATTGTCTCTGTATTCAATCAATCAATCAATTAAATTTTATTTGCATTATATCATTAAGTCAAATGTTTGTATATTGTTGTATCAGACAATTTACCACACAGTAAATAGTTCTCATATACTCCCCTTAGATTCAAAGCATTTTAGTATATTCAATACAGAGACTGTGTTCTCTAAACTACACAGTTGTTTGTGTGTGAGGCGTTTGAGGTTTAAGACACATGCTGAAATCAGAAACCTGTCATTTCCACTTGGAATGTGATTCTCTCATCTGATCCAAACATCTAAAGGTTTGATGACAACAAGCAGTAAAATCTTGAACCATCTTCTGTCAGTAAGGATGAGGTTTGGTGGTCTCAGCGAGCAGAGCAGCTGCGAAAGGCAATGTTTTACTAAACAACAGTAAAGGCTGCTGGTGGGCCGCAGCGAGGCACCTGTGTTTGTGTGTGGGTGGTCAGGGTCAGCTGTGAAAAGGCTGCTCTCAGATTCTTATCTGTCACACATGTATAATGGCTGATACATGATGTTGCATGCCGGAATAAATCAACAAAGTCCAGTCAAATATCATTACATCCCCAGACTAAATTACAAATGCAAGTTGGTTTGGAATCTCTCCTCATTTTTGATTTCCAAGGGGTGTTATCAACGGCTGTAGATTAAAATGCCTCTGGACGCTATTGGATAAACCCACAACCAATCAAAGCAATAAAACATATAATGAAGTGCTATAAAACAGACTACAGAGTATGAAACAGACCACAGCATGCAGAGATGAGCTGTGATGGCATAGCATCGATGTCTGTGAACCAGTGTTGCTGCTTTTGCTGTCAGAATTTGAAAACAGGAATTCAGCAGAAAGTTTAACATTTGCAGCCATCTTGATTGTTTTTGCAAAGACGTAGCCGTGCTTGCAGATACTAGACGTATTTGCAAGCACAAGTGTTTGTTTAATATGAGGCGTTGCCAGGATACTACTTTCAAGCATCTCAGCCCTAATTAATCTATTAATTGAAGGATCAGTTCGAACTTTCAGCAACTTTTTTTTTTTTTTTTCCTTGTCAAATTATTAGAATTAGGGCCCCCAATATCAGGAAAACATTTGAAATGTGATAATGTCGTTGAATACTGCAACGAGAACATGACTCACATTAAAAAAACAAATATTGATGTATACAGTTTTAATGTCTTTCTGCTTTAGGTTCACACTGCTAACATAGACCCCAGACAATGAATGGCCTATGCACACTGAACAAAAAAAAAAAAAAAAAAAAAAGAAAGAAATGCAGTGATGTTGATAGGTTTTAAACGTAGTGAGTCCCCGGGAAAAAAATTAAATAATTTACTGTATAAATTCAATAGTTTGACATTTGAGAAATATGCCTACTGGTCTTGTGCAAGATATATGATATGTGCGGTAAGAAAATGGCGGCCATCAGTGAGAATGCTTTTTCAACAGGGTGCTTTCTCTCAACAGTAAAACATCATTGGGTTCATCATCGACATGAGTCAATACAGTATCGATCAGAAGCACAATTATCACAACAAACCATTATTAGGGGAAGAACACGTCGTGTCCCCTGGATGGTACAGCACAGTCGTCACTAACATGAGTCAATACAGCATCTGCTGTCACAGCAGACATTGCGACGTAAGATAACAGGAATGTCTGTAGTAATATTCTACATATTTGTGGATCAGGGTGTATTTTATGAAGCTTAAAATACAAGATTATTAATTTACCAGGAAGCTTTCGCGCACCGAGTTTCAGAGAGTGGATGATGAGAGGGATGAGAACAGATGGGCTAGCAGACAGGTGTCAGTTCTATGCAGTGCACCCAAACAAAAACACAGACACATCACAGACAGGATGATAATGACGGTTTCTGGGACATGAGAAATATTTTCAAAAGCCTAGGCCTAAGCTTCAACACAGATTGTCTGTTCACAACTCCCTCTCATATACTGATCGCAGTTCAAGCCTCCTTATGTGATACCTTTATCATACATGTTGATATCGTGATAAAGGTACATATTCAATATATTGTGCAGCCCTAATCATAATGAAGAATAAATTTGGATTTGAACTACTATGTAAATCTACCTTGGCCCCCTTAGTTACTGTTGCTATGCCTATCAAGCTCTCCATTCTCACATGGCACATATGTAGTTTACAATGGTATCAGCGACAGATCCGCCAGTGTCTGTTAGTATTTTCGTCTGAAATAATCCAGCTGTCAGATTTTATTAGCTGCAGCTATTTAGCCAATAAAACTAATGTTAGCTCCATGAGTTGGAAGAAAACCTTGTTTCCAGCTGACTTTTTTAATGTTTCCAGCTGACTGTTTGAAATCTTTGCTAACTATGCTAACTATGCACATGGTGGCGGAAATACTGAGGCTAACGCTGCATGTCCCAGACAAAAGAAATCGGCATCATCAGTTGATGATCCCTCTGGAAGACAGAAAAAAGGCATTGTTTTTGTAACGTAGAGCTGGTTAGTCTTAGTTTAATTGGTATAATAAGGAAAAATTTGATTTCATTCTAAAATAACCCTGTGCGGCTGCTTAGCTGCTTCACATTTTCTTATAGTTTGTAATAAGAGAAAAAGGTTTCTGTGATCAGGACTAACTGACGTGTTTGGCAGATGAGTTCGGCTGGGATTTCTGGAGTGTAAAATTCCCAATATCCAATAAGGAGCAGGGCGGGCCCGCTAACGTTGGCCTAAACTTTAACAGCAACCAGGACCGGCTTCCCCACAGTGGGGAAATATTACACTGTGAAAGTCCTAGTCATGAAACAGGTCTTTTTTATGCATATACAACTGGAACAGCTGGAGCTTAATTGTCATGTGTTTCCAATCACATGTCGTCAGTTATCTTCAAAATGTAATTAGACGTGATTTACCATGTCTGAGTCATCTTCATCCTCTTCACAGTGCCTTTCAGCAGCACGGGGGTCTCCCACCACCCTCAGCTCACCGATCACCCCCTGTTCAAAACAAGGACATGGTGTTTTGATGTTAATGATACATGTAATAATGTCAGAACAGAGCTTATTCTCTCCCACACACACACACACACACACACACACACACACACACCATGCTTATCTCTGAACTTGCTGCTCAGATTTTGGTAATCTTTTCAGGGAATTTCCCCTTTCTGCAAAATCAGAGGAGCTATTGATGTCTCCAGTTTTAGCCTCTGCCTGTGAAGTGCCACTATCTCTGTCCCACACACATGATCTGATACATGTTCCCACACAGGATACTTGCACAGATAGCATTCATGCTATCTGACTGCCTATCAAAGGGCCATTAGCTCTGAATGAAGAGGTGGTTTCGCTGCAGCCGAGTTATTTGAAGTTGACTCTTCAGGACACATTTATATCCTGAGAAGAAAAAGTCAAATGGATTTTTTAAGAGAACTTTGAAGATAAACAGCAAAGGCCTTTTGACATTTAAACCCTGACTCCCTGTCTGGCTTTTATTGGTCGTGCTGGTAGTCTTTTTTTGTAACTTGTACAATGTTTAGTCGACGTGTCATGGTCTTTTCCTGACAAACTGCTTTAGATCTTTGCAGTAAATCTCAGATCCTTTGCACAACAAGGACTAAACTGTCACTGCAGCATGTTTTTACTAGTGATGGATAATAAGAGGCGAGATATCCACTAAACAAATCCTGTTTCAGAATGGAATGTCCATTTTATAAATACATAATGTAAATATTTAAATACCAAAGTAGCTCAACGGATACTTGATTTGATTAGAGAAATTAAATTCACAAGACCTCTGTAAGCTTAGGGCCATGCTAGGGTCAATAAATAGCACATGGCCAACATGTCCTGTAGGAAGAAACAGGGTTAGGTTCCTTTTCTTCCAAAATAAGCAGTTTATAATAATCTTTCTGACAAAATATCTGACTACAGGGAAAGACCTTAGATAGTCTTGTGTAAAAAAAAAAAAACTGTGTAGCAGAGTGACTAAGTGCTTTACAACAAAATAAGCAGCTGTCTTCAAACACAGTAATAAAAAAGATTAAAACAAGTTTAACAGCTGAGAGAGAAGGCCAGTGATAATGTTTCAACTGAGCAAACAATGAAGCCAGATGGGAAGTACTTCAGTGGAATTCTGACACATTTAGTAGTGCAAATATCTCTGTCTTATGAATATATTAAAAAAATACTCTTTAGCAGTGGATGGAGGGGATGGCCACCCTTTTTTTGGCTCGCTGCGAGTTTATCAAAAGTGCTTCTGCCTTTATGGTTTAAATGCCTCAACTGAGTCTCATTAGCAGAACAGGGAGGTCATTGATGTCCATATAAGCAGCAAGACGCCATGCTCGGCGACACCAAACAGTTAAGACAGCAAATAAAAGCATTACTGTAGAGGTGAAGTGTAACTCAAACAGAAAGAGACAACAAGGTCAGGTTGGATGTAGTGAAAATAAGTCCACTGAATGTCTATAAAAGCCAGCCATCTAATAAAAGCGACTGAAGAGCTTTGATAAAAGTCTCCTAAACATGTTATTTTCTAAGATAAATAGAGCAGATTTCCATGAATTAGCGATATCTCCTCACCCCAAGGGACCTGGGTTGTATTTTCAGGTGTCACCTCAAACGGAATGAAGTATTGATCTACCTTTTACATCTGGGATTACAATTGTCCAACTACTACTACAACTAAGTCAAAAAAGTCAGTTCTCCCCTGATTCTAAGTTGAGTTATAAGGATATCAATCAGTCAAGTCTGATTGTTTAACTGGTTGTAAAATGCTCTCAAGTATTTATGTACATCACTTGAGCAATCAAGTGTCATTGGCAGAATGACTGAGAAACATTACCAGAGAAAAAAAGGCAACACCATCAGTGAAGACCCAAAATAACCCAACAAGGTGCTGCATAGGCCGATCAAATAAACCATTGCACAATTTGGTTGATAACTTTGTCACTCCTACTGTTTCCTTGTGATGGTTGCCATCACATCCTGTTTGACAGAGACAAACTGCAGTGCAGCGTTCCTTTAAATTCATGGATCTATTATTTTTATATTTTATATCAAAGTGCTGTTTTTGGTGTTGATGCCCAGTTACTTGCTTAAACAACATCCCATAAACTTTTTCTCTTTGCCTCAATCTACCCTTTGACCTGAGATTCAACTCTTTAGCTCCGCTATCCCAATGACTTCTCACACTGCTCCCCCATCCCACCTCACCCTCAGTCCTATGCTTTCAACATGCAGTTGCATATTTCATCCGTGCAGGTAGCCATGGGTGAACCACTATAACCCTTTAACAGCTAAGGTCAGCAGTTGTTGCGGTCAACTACTGGTATTCTTAGCAGGCAAATGACTGAAGTTAATTAAATCCCAACTGTGAGGTCTTCCAATTATTTGCAGACTACTCTCAAGAAGATGGTGAGGTGATGCAGACATTTATGTTGTGGTTTAGAGCAGGCCAATTTGAGCAATCAAATCATACAAGAGTTATTCAGCCAAGACGTTTCACATGATTGATTATGGAAAGTCAAAACACTATACTGCACTTCACACAGCTGGAGTCCTGTCTCATTGTAGTTTGTGTTGGTTAGAGGAAGAAGTCGTTTGGACATGTGAGATGTGCAGACTTTGGACTCCAACACAACAATTAGTCTGACTAATTCAGTGCAGAGGTGTCATGCAAATATTTCTTTATCTAGTATGAAAACTATTAAAATAAATACAGTATATCTTTCAATGTCATTTCCTGATTTCATGAATATTGTTTTGTCCAGATGGAGCCTGTGTACACACCAGAAACTTCTCTGTATCAGCTCCTCCAGCTTGCCCGACAAAGACCCCAGCACCAGACTCCAGCTCCATCTCGTCCGGGGACCTCTCGATGCGCATCACCTGAGGGTCTATGTCACAGTTGAGGTAGAACATCACTTTGTCATCCCTCACAGCAATAGCAAAACGAGTCCAGGTATCCCTCATGGAGGGCACAGGGAACCTGGCCGCCTCATACGACTGCTGCGAGTCGGGCTCAGTGTAGTACAGGATGACATTCTGGTTGCTGCCCTGCACAGCGGACAGTTTAACACCCACATACATGATCTGCTGAGCAGCATCTGTGATGGAGAAGATGACACCACCCCTGTCCGTGGTGGGTTTCAGGTTGAAGATGAGGGCGAAGTCTCGGTAGAATGGGCTCGGCAGGTGGGCACGTGCCAGCTGGCCCGTGTTGGCATCAGGACCAAAGACATAGCCAGGGCTGTTGTCTGACCCAAAGACCTGGGTGACTGTGTTTGGAGGAGGATCCCCAATCAGCTGTAGCAGGGAGACTCCACTGTCTTCTACAAGGGGAGAGAAAAAGAATGTGAGGATACAATATGCATGAAATCTATTGGAGGTTAGAAGGGAGGGCTGCATGGCAGGATGTAGTGTTAGACCAGGCTGCTGAGGACTGACTTAGAGTGAATGTGCCTGATGAATGCAGGAACAATTGCTTTTACTTGCACATGATGGTGGTATTTTGAATCTTTGTTGTACTAGAAAAAAAATCAACAGCATGGCTGGTCAAAGGTTTTTCCCTTTAAAAGTAAGATAAAGAGCAATAAACGTCAGTGGAAAGTTACCACAACTTCCTCCAACCAAACAACATGAAGGCTATTTTCTGAGAAGCACAGTTCTACTCAGGGGACCGCAGACAAACAAACAAACCATTTTATAACTGCTTGACCAAAATATGGAAAAGGTTGACATCCCCCAAAAAGGCAACGGGATAAACCAGCTGAGACTAAGAAAAGCAGATCACTAAAGCAGACACTGCAAGGCCTGTATTCCAAAGACAAGACCAGCCAATGCCAAAACTTCCTAAACTTAAGGGGGATATAAAGACACAGTCCAGAAGATAGAGTACAAGAAGATGTGACTTGAGAGTTGAATAATTTAGCTCTTAGCAACTGAGTCAAAAACAACTTACACTTTATATTTCTGTTGTGCTGATTTGCCTTAAAAAGGTCCAGTGTGAATCATTTAGGGGCATCTACTGGCAGAAATGGTATGTAGTATTCATAACTACGTTTTCATTTGTTTATAATAACCTGAAAATAAGAATTGTTGTGTTTTCGTTACCTTAAATTGAGCTGTTTATATCTGCATACAAAATGGGTCCTCCCAGAAAGTCTGCCATGTTGTTCTACGGTGGCCCAGAACAGACAAATTAAACACTGGCTCTACATAGGGCCATTCACGGTACTGCATTGGCCACCATAGTTTCAGTTCTATAACCTCACTGTTTGATGCTACTAAATCCTACACGCTACACTAGGGATGTCAATGGTTAACGTTAACTGTTAATTAGCTAGTTAACCAGTGAGAACATGTTTCACCGGTTATGCATGTTGGTCTCTACATTAATTTTTCTACTCTTCAGTTTACCACACTGCGCACCAGTGGCGGTCAAGTGAGAAAACTAACGTTAGCTAGCTCATTCCACAATCACTACTTGTAACGCCGTCCCAACCCAAGAGTGTTGCTATGACAACACTGGGCCCACCGGAGATTGAAGCGTGGCCACCATATAGCCTACTGCAGCAACGCCATGCATTCACTGGGACGGTGTTGCCAGTGTTGATCACTGAATGAGCAGCGCGCTAGCTAACGTTAGCTCCCACCAGACCACCAGTGGTGTGCAGTGCAGAACGGACAAGGCAACGTTAGCTAAACAGTGGATACCAGAGAGTGGGCTGTGGGCACTATCTTTCTACATGTTACAACAGCTAGCTTGCTGTCTGTCAGCAAAGCTAACTGAAAATAAAATAAAAGGAAAAACATTTACAACATATAACATTAAAATGCCGCCCTCTCTGAATGGATCGTGCTTTGAAATGCAGTACTGAAGCTCACTGAGTCAGTGGAGTGCTGGACTAAAAGGAACAGCCTTTTGTACTTCACATCATTTGCCTTTTTTTCTCTTTTCTTAAATATTAACTTGTAGGTTACCTGTTAATGGCTATCAAAAGCAAAATTAACCAAAATGTATTCATGTAATTCATGTATTGATAGAAGAGTCAAAAAACAAAGTTGTCAAAAGACAAAAAAAATTAAAAGCAAAACTAAAACATGCAACAATAGCTTCCAGTGCTCTCTCTCTCTCTATGGCAGAAAATTGCATCAACAGACCAAATTTATTCAAACAGAAAAATTACACATTTAAAAACTTTTAAATTTCCTCTAATTGTGACCAGCGTGTGTGCAGAATGGGGTAAAGACAGATATTTATGCATCACATTCCTGAAGACACACACACACACAAAAAAAGCAAAAAGCTCTTCCGACTTGTGTGACATCTGCTAAATGTCACTGCTCCAGGGCACACAGGGACCAACAGCTGGGCCTCCTGCATATCTTTGCTCACTCTTCCATCACCCTGGGTGACTCTGGAGAGATCAGTGCATAATAATTGGAGGAGTTTAGGATGTACAAGAAACACAAAGAGCGATGTGTGTTCATTCACATAATAGTGGAGACAGTTTTTTTTTTTTTTTTTTACGAGGATCAAACTTGAGAGTAAACCTTTCTGCTTTGATCAAAAACAATGTTTTCCAATGTTAAAAGAAAAATCACTGTTTTGGGAGAGCACTTGACGTAGTTTCTGGTGCTTTGAAGAAATGCTTTGGTTTACCACCCGGTGACTAATGTGCGTGCTCTATTGCCCCGTTCAAAGCCTCCCCACTGCCCCAAGTGCTGGAGATCAGTGGGGTCTGCAATTGGCTTTGTTGAGAGCTTAAACACATGAGGTTTTTAGCTGAACCCAAGGTCCTGCTCTCTGTTGTACAACCATAAACACAAGTCTGAATTTTTCTGCACGCTGTGTAGAACTAAAGATGCTTTCATTTGAATTAGAGCTAACAGAGAACCCAGTCAAACTGTGACTGGACAGCAATAAAAATACTTTCCAGCATTCATTATGCAGTTCCCCTCTGCACCAATAATCAGAGAGAAAAATCTCAATAAACAGATTGTACATGTAGCCAGAATATATAAATGATGCACTGATAGTTTAAAGACGTGTCAAAAATACCACACAAATCTGGAAAAACAGTGAGATGCGCTACACAAGACTTGACTGTATGAATGATACTCATTGGGTCAATTTTAAAATAGCATCTTGGTGGAAACTTCATGAACACGCTATGTACAATATAGCAAGCTAGAGTCTTTTAAAAGAGGATCACTATCAGTCTACATTGTATCTCATAAAATACACTGCAAATGTTACTCTCACGTCACCTGATAAAACCTTAATAAACCTTCCTGAATTTTAAAATCCTGAAACAAACAAGACCTATTATGCTTTTCCATGTTTTTTGTCTTATAGGTGCTAAAGAGAGTGCTGTCAGACGGAGGGTGAATACACGTGCTCCAGCACAGACAGCATGGGGAAAATAAAGTGATGTTTGATCATTAATGCATGTGAACATGTTCTAGTAAAAACCTTTCATACAAGTATGAACCTGAAGATGAGCATATCAGGTCCTCTTTCTACATAAATTAATAAAAGCTAATTATGAAATGACAGATGCAGATGCACACACAAAGTCCAAAGGTCAGAGCAAGGTAGACTGTAAGTCCTTGACTGCTGCATGAATGGCAGCTAACAACTAACTTATTTGCACCCGGCCAACCAGATGTTTACTCTGAAAAAGTGAGGCTGAGAAACCTCGAGGGTCTCTTCAGTGGGCCTGTGCTCACATGTCTGAACCTGGCTCCCTCTTCTGAGCACAATCTCTGCCAGAGAATGCTTGAAAAAGGCAAAACTTTGCAGTAATTCAGTGGTTTAATCCATTACGTGGGAAAGCACACCATTTTAATGTAATCCTCCTGCTGAGGGTGCTAAAGCAGATATGTGAGCTATTTTTAAAGCAGAAACACTCCATGACCGAGCATGTGTCAGAACTCTTTTAGCTCTGAATGACGTCATTTGTACTGAAAAATGTCTCTACTAGCTGCAATTCACTTTGTTCAATAATATGCAAGAAACATGCAATTTCTAAGCAGCAAATTAGCAGCTGGTCATGAAAAATATTGGATTTGTATGCAGATTAAACTTCAAGGCCTGTAATAAGTTGGAATGTGAGGTCTCTAAAACAGAGTCTGGTTGTCCCTCTCAAACAGTATGAATAACCGTCTCCTATAACTCAAACATCTGACTTACTTATACATTTGCAAAACGAACAGCAGACATCCTCACACTTGCAGACAAGATCCAAGCTTCCAAAACCCCTCATTACTGCAGCAGCTCACCTATTATTAGCCATCACTCACACCGACCAGATGCGCACTTTTTTTGAACCGTGTTCAGAGAAGGCACATCCATGACACTTAATGCAAAAAATGATCACTATTTACATCAGATATAAAACAGAATCCTGATGTAGTTATACCACATAGCAGTATAGAAAAAGAGAGCTTGGAAGTGTAAATAAAGACAATTTAATTACCGGATCTAAAGCAGATGAAAAGGTTTGACCTGCTTTAGGCCTGCAAAGGAATGCTTTTGCTGAAGCCTGTTCAATGTGCCTGCATTGTCAGCAAAGGGCCAGCCAGTCATTCCTTCTCAGAGATCAAAAATTGTTGGGTATACAAAAGGTTCACCATTAGCATTTTAAGTGCAATCTCAATTCAGGTTTCCCATATAGCTTTTGTTAACCAATGACAGCTTCAAGGCCAATCTGGCTTAGAAAAGAACCACTGATGAATGGAGCAGAGCTGGGTTTATGGTGCTAGTTTGTCTTGTCAAAAAGGCAGCTTACTGACCAGGAACGCAGCTCTTTTTCACTTCCTAACATTCCAGGACGGGGTACCAGAGTTTGTGATACCCTGTTGATAAAGCTGTATATACAGCTTTGGGAAGTACAGGATCCTGTATAATCCACGAGAAAACATTTGAACATCTGGAGAGTCCCAGAAAATGTTGCGGTTTCACTGACTATGCTCCATCACCATTTCAAACATCCCTTGAGGCCTGCTGACAAGGGCAATGATCTCTCCCCTCAGTCTGAAAAAAAGCTAGTCAGTGGTCTGAGTAGAGTTCACTGCAGGAGACATAAAAATAACCTTCCAGTGATGTCTACAATGTTTATGCATGTGCAGCATAAACTATGTTTGACGTGTCCGTCAGCCAATTGATTTAAAAGTGAAGTAAATTAAATTTGGTGACATGATATGGTGTCTGTGTTTGCTTTCTGCTCATTTGATCCATGTTTGATCTTTGTTTCAATGTATGTCTGGCTGCTTCCAAGATTAAAGAGGGTCATTTGTAATGCTTCTAATGTTAAAGCAATGTCAA